TTAGACCAACTCAACAAAAGAACATGTATATATCTATACCATTTCACAGAATACTATAAAACGCAAACAATTCAACATAAAATTAAAAAAAAGGAATCAAAAAGGTATTGGTAATCACAGTAAGGCCTTTTGGAAAAATAACGATATTTTGTCATTTGTCATGAAATTGAAAATTTTATATCTGACATAACACAGGGACCTGTCTTTATACAGAGAATAAAAATGACCTTTAATAGGCTGAAAATCTAAGATCCATACCCAATAGGAGTCTGCACTGAATGTACATGACAGCAAAATAGATTTTCTATGTATTACAACTTAATGAAGATCCATATTTCTGGGGTTGATAATTGTTTCAAAGGTCTACTAACTCACACTTATCAAACACGTACAGACCTCTGACCATTTATAATTTTACCCTATATTGTAAAGGATTATAGTGCATAACTGAATTTTTGGCTTGTTATCATATGGTTTTTAATTACTTTCTTGTGAATGGAACGAAGCTGTTATACAGAAATGAAGCAGGATCTTTTCCCCCTTAACTAAAGAACAGGCTTGGTTTGTGTGAAAATATTTGGCAAAAAATTTAAAGTGGTTATAATTGACATCATTGAAATTATTTCTCAAAATTACAGGTCGTTTTATGTTTTCAAACTAAACACAAAACAGTCTTGAACAGTTGAACGAAATGTGTAAAGATCAGGTCTGGAGCGAATTTTTAGAACATAGTTGGTTTCTCCTTAATTGAACATACATGCATGGATAATGAAATCAATTGTGATCAGAGACCTGTACCGTAGTGAAATTGGCAGCTCCCTGTGCCTCTGCTAGTGTGTACTTATCTGGTATACAGTGTCAAATAATGGGGGTAAATCAGATAAAGCGAATAAAATAAATTAAAGGCCATAAAATTACTTTCCATTTAAGAGGAACATTCATATATTTTATCAGATTGCATTTCTTCATTTGAAAGCAAAAACAGAATTCTCTAACAAGTGAAATTATCAAGGTATATCAAAGCAAATCTGAGCAAAACAAGAGGAAAACTCAAAGCAAACACAATCTAAATAAACATTTAAAGAAATATTTCAAAACAAATCACAGTCAATAAGAATTAAAGATAAATAGTACATACTAGAAATCAGTTATTGTATAAACTAAGTAATATACATGCAGTAATATTGTTTATCGAAAAATGTTTGCCGCAGTTTAATTAACAGCAAATACACAACATATTATAAATAGATTCCTCATTGAAATTTCATAAAATATTATAATAATTACATTGAAAGGGCAAAATTAACACTTGGCAAGCGAACCTTTCCCGATATATACTATACACATAGTAAAAATATTATGTAGATTTCAGTAATTATCTCACATTTCAGTAATTATCTCACATTTCAGTAATTATCTCGTAGGTATATTTACCTATCTCTGTAAGGTCATGTCATACGTTTTATGTACAAATATTAAGAGCAAGACACTATTTGTACTGTAAATGTTCAGATAAATTTTCCAAATCTTCACAACACAGGTCTAAAAAATTTGAACCCCTTTGCAAATTTGAAATAATTTTTACAAACCTTCCTTTGATGAAACTGTTTTCCTTTCAATACTTAATGTTACTACTGCTTTTGATATATTTTATTTCCTAGAGTGTGACAGAATACCAATAATTTCACAGGTGCAAAGCATGAATGAAAATACTTCTGCCTTACGAGATTACTCCTCATCACTATTATCACTGAGAAATTTGTATACATGTACAATTATATTTTATATTTTACTGCACTCCGAGCAGTGAAAACATGCAAATTTATTTGGAATGTATGATATATCCCAGAGAGGTAAGTGGTGTTCGTAACAGACCATTGTAAAACAGTTGTGGCTACATTGATCCACTCGTGTTCATGACCTGATGACTGTCGCCGCAGGGTTACAAATGCGGCTGACGATGATCATATTTTGATTACTATGATTGGTCGATTGGTTCACGAGATCCCATCGCCAAAAAAAATATTGAGTCAAGGTAAACCTCACTCAGTCTTGTTCTATTCATTATCAATCGTTGTTTTCTTTACCAATGTGAGGTTGTATCTTATATCCAAAGTGTGCAACAAAACCTTTTCATGTTGCTTATGATAAATTTTATTCTGTAAACCATCATACATTTGTATACTGTTGATTTAATACATTTATCACAAACATTATACTGACAGTTTAATACACCAATTATATTGCTAATATAAAACATAAATTTAATAGAAATTGTATACTGTTTATTTAATACATCAATAATAAATTATATACTGTCAATTTAATATACCAATCATAAATTTATACTGTTTATTTTATACATCAATTTTGAGTTGTATACTGTTTACTTAATACATCAATAATACATTTTATACTGGCAATTTAATATACCAATTATAAATCTATACTGTTTATTTAATACATCAATTATAAATTTTACATTGTTAATTTAATACATCAATTAATTTTTTGATACTGTTAATTTAATACATCCCATTACAAATTGTATACTGTTGATTTCATGCACAGTTGAATTAATACACAATATTATGTAAAGTGATATTTTCATATACTGGTACTGTATGATTCTTATTTTCAAAGTATATAAAATATTAACAGTTTATATAGAGATGTAGTGAAATATATGACAGACCATTTCACATGTATCCAGTGAAATTACACACGTATCCAGTGAAATTACACATGTATCCAGTGAAATTACACAAACACCCAGTGAAATGCACAAGAACATTGTACCCAGTGAAATGCACAAGAACATTATACCCAGTGAAATACACAAGCACCCAGTGACATTGATCACTGCAGAATTATTACATAATTATATGTTTACGGTACACTTAGTGGTTTTCTGGGTATTACTCTAATGATTTTTTTTTAATTGTTTTATTGTTCCCTACATTATAATATAGATTGATTAACATTTTATTGCACGGTTATACAATTGTATATACATTAAAGCTGATTGCACAATTATAAGTAGTAGATTTCAGTAGAAACCTATAGTTATCAAATAGGTAAAAAACATGTATGTTATTCTGTCAATATTTTCGACAAAGTCAATATTATGGCTTTTTCAACAATTTTGACATTTATTTTGCAAAATATCAACTATAAGGTAAAAATTTGGCCAAAAATGTATTTACCTCTTTGATCAATAAAACCACATGATTATACTTGAGATGGATTTTTTTGTTCCAGGTATTTTCAGGAAATTTATGACAGATGTCAAACAGAAAAAGTTGCAATTTGTCAACGACACTTGAAAGTAATACTTAGGTTCATTTCACCAATGTCATAACATGAAATGAAATCTCAACTTACATTTGTAATCTGTTTCAAATTGTTTACAGTATACACTGTACATGTATATTCATAAAATATTGCTAAATTTCAAATTCAATACTTTACAGTTCAACATGCAAGGTTATATTCACAAAAATGTTAGATTATATCCATAAGTCTGGTCAGCATGCTAGGACCCAAAATCAACCTGCTAGGATCCAAATGACAACACGCTAGGTAATATCAGCAGGTCAAAATAATTGGTTTTGTCCACAGGTTTACATGCTGGGATCCATGTGTCAACATGCTGGGATCCACATGTTGGGATCTACAGATCAGCATGCTAGAATCTATAGGTCAACATGCCAGTTATATCGTTGGTCAATAAGCAAGGATGGCGAGGTGGACATACTAAGTTATATCTACACATCAACATGCCAGAATCTATAGGTCAATATGCCAGTTATATCCATGGTCAACAAGCAAGGATGGCGAGGTGGACATGCTAAGTTATATCCACACATCAACATGCCAGGATCTATAGGTCAATATGCCAGTTATATTGTTGGTCAACAAGCAAGGATGGCGAGGTGGACATGCTAAGTTATATCGACACATCAACATGCCAGGATCTATAGGTCAATATGCCAGTTATATCCAAGGATGGCGGGGGGGACATGCTAAGGTATATCTACACATCAACATGCTAGGATCTATAGGTCAACATGTCAGTTATATCCAAGGATGGCGAGGCGGACATGCTAAGTTATATCTACACATCAACATGCTAGGATCTATAGGTCAACATGCCAGTTATATTGTTGGTCAACAAGCAAGGATGGCGAGGTGGACAGGCTAAGTTATATCTACACATCAACATGCTAGGATCTATAGGTCAACATGCCAGTTATATCCAAGGATGGCGAGGTGGACATGCTAAGTTATATCTACACATCAACATGCTAGGATCTATAGGTCAACATGCTAGTTAATATTTACAGAATGTCATTAAGGCACTAGGGTAAGCATGACTTGAAACACTTATGTACAGTTGATTTGTTATGTCACAAAGTACTTATCACAATTAAGCTTTTGGATTAAAATTGACTACAGAACAACATGGTATATACAATGATATTGTAACATAATTAAATGATGAATAAACAATTTATAACTGTGTACCTATTCCTCATATTAACTGTGCAGTACCTAAACATAATATAATCCAAACTCATTAACATACTATATCTAGCATGTTAACATAAACCTACAGTAAGCACTTTGCTGTACACAGCACTATAACAGGATATACTGCTACGCAGCACTATAACAGGATATACTGCTACACAGCACTATCACAGGATATACTGCTACACAGCACTATAACAGGATATACTGCTACACAGCACTATAACAGGATATACTGCTACGCAGCGAATTTGTCATCAACACAACCTTACATAACTTAACTAATTCCTTGGCTAAGCGAACAAATGTAGAAGTATTTCAAAGTCATAATGTTTCATAAATTAATCGGATATTGCCTACATAAGTAAGGTAAAGTTTATTAATTATATCACTTTTATCACAAATTACATTCTTTGTCAATGCAAAAACAAATTGAACTACATGAATCTGCCTTTAAAGAAAACATTTCTTTGACAGAAAACACCAATTCCACAAAAACAAATTTCCTTTAAGTGTCAGAAAGTGGTTCCAAGAAATCCCTCTCCAGCATTTCTTCTATGTACTGTCTGCAGTTTTTGGTGTTTGAGAGAAGTGGAGGGTCGGACAGAGCCCCTGCACTCTTTCCAATCTCTATGGTAGATTTAGACCTTGGCATTGTTGATAACCTTGCTGTTTGGTGATGTTGTTTGGAGCTGTTGCCTGATTGGTTAGTTCTGTTGGCATTGTCATGGCGCCTTGAAATGACAAACTTGCTCTCGTTCTGGCTACAACAAAGTGTGTTGAAGAATGGCTGTAGCTCTGTCAGGGACCTCAGGTAAGTTTGTGTCAGTAAAGGTCGGCCTGGGATCTGCTTCAGGACAGGCAGTGCCCCTCGTGTCTGTAATATAAAGCGAGCTCATGGGACATCAAATATGTCCATAAATAATCAACCAATCAGAATTAGTGCATAGCCTCCAACCTCATTAAATACAAGAGGCCCAATGGGCCTGAATCGCTCACCTGGTATTAATCTCACAAATAATCTTTAAAGTGGACTAAAATACAGCTACAGGCAGAATATCAGTGTTTGACTGATAAGAACCTATTATGACGCCTGTGACCTTGAATGTCGAACAAGGACAATAAGGTTGAACAGAGTTTATAGTCGTCCAACCAAGCATGCTTCTGGCAAAATATCATTACCCTGGACCTTTTGGTTATACAGAACAGTCATTTAAAGATTTAAACATATATTGACCACTGTGACCTTGCATATGGGCGAAGGTCATTCATTTGAAAAAACCTGGTAGTCCTTAATCCCAGCATGTTAATGGCCAAATATCATCACCCTTAGCCTTTTGCTTATTGAAAAGAGGTCGTTTATAAAGGTTTTAAACTTATTTGACCCCTGTGACCTTTAATATATGTCGAGGTCATTCGTTTGAATAAACTTTGAAGTGCTTCATCCCAGCATGCTACAGGCAAAATATTATAACCCTCAGCCTCTTGGTTATTGAGAAGAAGTAGTTTTAAAGGTTTTAAACATATTTGACCCCTGTGACCTTGAAAATGGGTGAAGGTCATTTGTTTGAACAAACTTGGTAGCCCTTCATCCCAGCATGCTAAAGGCTAAATATCATCACCCTAGGCCTCTTTGTTATTCAGGAGAATTCGTTCAAAGATATTAACATATTTGACCCCTGTGACCTTGGATATGAGCGATGTTCATTCATTTGAACATACTTGGTAGCCCTTCATCCCAGCATCTAACTAGCAAAATATCATAACCCTAGGCCTCTTGGTAGTTCAGAAGAAGTTGTTTAAAGGTTTTAAATATGTCTGACCCCTGCAACCTTAAAAATAGATGAAGGTCATTCATTTGAACAAACTTGGTAGCCTTTCATCCAAGCATGTTACTGGCCAAATATCATCATCCAAGGCCTTTTGGTTATTGAGAAGAAGTTGTTTAAAGGTTTTTAACATGCTTGAACCTGTGACCTTGAAAATAGATGAAGGTCATTCGTTTGAACAAACTTGGTAGCCCTTCATCCCAGCATGTTACTGGCCAAATAACATTATCCTTTCCCTCTTGGGTATTCAGAAGAAGTTGTGTAAAGGTTTTATACATATTTGACCCCTGTGACCTTGAAAATGGATGAAGGTCATTTATTTGAACAAACTTGGTAGCCCATGATTCCAGGTTGCTACTGGCCAAATAGCATCATCCAAGGCTATTTGGTTCTTCAGAAGAAGTCGTTCAAAGATTTTAACATATTTGACCCCTGTGACCTTGAAAATGGATGAAGGTCATTCATTTGAACAAACTTGGTAGCCCTAGATTCCAAGATGCTAATGGCCAAATATCATTAACCTAGGCCTTTTGGTTACTGAAAAGAAGTTGTATTAACCTAGGCCTTTTGGTTACTGAAAAGAAGTTGTTTAAGTAAAAAGTTGACGCCGGACAGACGGACGCCGGACGGATGACGGACGCCGCACCATGGCATAAGCTCACTTGCTCTTCGGGCAGGTGAGCTAATAAACTGATCATGACTCCACTTTAAAATGGGCCTTGACAGTATTATAAAGGATGTGCATTGATTAGGTTGCCTTACAAGCGTCAGCTGTAGGGAATTTCCCTTTAGTTCAGCGATAAAGCATCGGGCTGGAAAGCCAAGGGTCACTGGTTCGAGCCCCACCAAAGGCTCTATCTTAATCACTATTCCTCGTCCTACTACAAACTGGTGACGTTGACCATCCCCTTTCAAAGTAGAAGAACCCTTGGCGGGGAGTCAAAAGAACCTGGGATGGTGTTGGAAAAATGGGGGAAATAGTGTAAAAGATAAGCATTGATTAGGTTGCCTTACAAATGTCAGCTGTAGGAAATTTCCCATTAGCTCAGGGGTAGAGCATCGGGTTGGAGAGCCAAGACGCCCGCGTGTTCGAGCCCCAGCGACGGCACTATCTTTACCACTATTCATTGTCCTACTACAGTACAGTTAACAACTTTACACCAGTGATAAGTGTAAGTTATTGGCACTTAACTTTAACCAGGGGAAATGGGGAATTAATGGGGCCCGAAAACAGCTTTATGGATGCCTCAACTAAAATGATAGAATCCATAACAGCTTGTTATGAATAGCTCATTCTAATTGTTGTTGTTTTTTATATATAAATTTGGCACTTTTATTTCAAACTTGATTTCACTATTTTCTCCTAATTGATAGAATTTTGATTGGCACTTTCTGATTTATAAGCAGATCAATTTCGACTTACCCTATCGTTGATGAGTTTGGTGAGACGTATGATGTGAGGTACAAACGTTCGAGCCTGATGAACTTTCCTCTTTCCTTTCTTCTCGTCTTTGCTGTTTTCCTTGTTTTCGTCCTCCTCCTGGTTTCCAGCTGCCGCCCCACCAATGAAGGCCCAGCGATACCTGTTAATGGTTAATCATGTCTCGTCTGTTCAGGTTGATACTTATTTTATGACCCTGCTATTATGGCCGGGATATAGTGTTACCCATATCCTTCCAATCTCATTACGATTCATTGTCACAGCTCTACCAACTTCACTTCTTAGCACATTTTCATTAAAGTTTATACAATGGTCAAGTATGAAAATACCTTGTATAAGATCGTATTTCAGGATCCCAAGGTCAATGACAAGGTCACCTTTGTTATTTATAGGTCTTTCATTGCTATTTTGCCAAGGGGACATTCATGTGCTACAGACATTTTCTAGTTTACAGCTGAAATTGTTGGCTGTGAAAAGATATCGGTGTTGACCTGTGAGACATGTCTGAAGATTTCGAGAAATACAAAGTCTCGTCTGCACATATTGATGATACATAGCTGATATATTTGACCAGGGGATAGAGTAGTACATAGCGGATATATTTGACCAGGGGATAGAGTGATACGTAGCTGATATATTTGACCAGGGGATAGAGTGATACATAGCTGATATATTTGACCAGGGGATAGAGATAAAGTTGGCTTTGTTCTTTCATGTGGTTTCTCTTTCTTTCTGTTTTATAATTTAATCAAAGACGTCGAATGCAGCAGAAAATAAAAAAATAAAATTTTCAAAAAAGTTAACAAATCACAAACAATGATTTTTAAGGAGTATCTGTTAGCTTGATTAAAATTTTAGAGAATACCATGTCTTATTCCTCTCATGTATTATAACCACTATATCCTCAATCCTTTAAAACAAAGGTAAACAACGAAGAATTTCAGATATACTCACAGCTGGAACTGAGGTACAACACCTGCAGGAAGTGCTAGAGCCAGGTCCAGCAGCTTACATACACTGAGATACAGCTGGAGCCAGGAAGGGTTGTTGTGCGCATTAAGACCGTTACCAAAGTGAGCCCATGTTGAGTCTAAAGCTGCAATCCTCTGGATCTGGGTCCTAAAGGACAAACAGGCAGGTCATATGTTACACAAGGTATCTATGCCATTTGGAAAATATGGTCAAGACTTCACAAATATTTTCACATATAGACAATGCCCAGATGAAGATTGAATGATGTGTCAGCATGGGAAAATAAAATATGAAAAAGTATACAGGAAACACTTGTCAGTGAGTGATTAATAGTCTATCTACTAACTGATGTATTTCAAAATTGATATATATATATGTATTATCTATTTATTCATTATATATCAGTTAACAAAATGTGTGTATTTTCTTAAATTAAGAACATCAAATTGGTAGTTTTACAACATTTATTACCATAAGTAATATAAGAATATTTATTAAACTGGAAATAGTAGAGTGTGTTAACCTCTAATCAGTCGGTCAAGAGTAACTGTACAGAATCCATGTATAAAACGATTGTTCTGTCAGGAGTTTGGCAGAATCACTGATATTCTTGAAAGGAATCAAACTGGTGCAGATATTTTAAAGTGACTTGTTGCACTAGTGAAAGCAATATATTGGAGGTGACTAAAATGAGAGGAAGTGGGGCGGAACACAATTATAAACTGTAGAGGAACATCTAAGGAGGATACGAATATAAATACTTTCCAAGCTGCAAGTAACTTTTTACACATGACAATATAAACATTCACATAAACTTCAATATATTATTGTTCAACGATTTTCATATAACAAATAATAAATAATTACATATGAATGCATGCAAGACAAACAACATTATACAACAAACTACAAATCAAGACGAAGTCTTATGGACCTGCAAATCATTACTTGTCCATCATCAACCTCTTAAAAATCTGTCTGATTTATTTATGATTTTTTTTACTGAAAATTACAGGAGAAAACAGAGCTAGATTTTAAAAAGAGCAGAGATTGATTACCGCAAGTAATACAAAAACATAAGTGATGCAGACAGACTGATGAGACACAATCAGTACTATGAAGAAATCTGTTAAATGTCTTATCAATATTTGATCAACATCTGAATAGCCATTCATGAGGAAAGGTTGTTCAAAAGGAAAATGTTGTCTAATGGACGACAGGTGCTGAGCTACAGCAATTACACATTGAGTATAATACAGATGAACTTTTTTATGAAAAAAAATCATAAAACATATGTTTAATCATAATAAATAAGTTATAAACAATTTTAACGATTGTCATTTACAAGTTAAACATAAACAGACAAGGTTAACATGTTCATGCCAAAAGCTGATTATATTGATCATGAGATATCAAGCTGGTTATTGATCTACCAGGTCATAACGTTATTGAGATACATGTACTAGGTCATGATCATAAGTATACAGATGTTCATCAGCAAATTCCTGAAAACATTGAAAAACGTGTTTCCTGCATATATGTTGCTTAATAACATTTGCTTGACTCTAGTGAATTCATTTGCAAATTCAGCTGATGATGAAAAGGGTAGGGGGTGCTTATAAAGGGTGGGAGTGCTTCCTACTTAATAGGTCAACTATAGGATATCCATATCCCTCATCAAACATTGAGAGAGATTATTTCATCTTCCAATAATTATCATCATACCTAAAAAACACTTGAGACAACTAAGCATGACCAACTGAAATATCTAAATTTCATTCAAACGTAAAATTTATCGTACTGATGGGAAACACAGCATCAACGTGCACGACTGGGTAGATAAATGCATTATTGTAACTGTATTTTTTCTGCATATCACATTAATGTACTTTAAAATCAGAAGTTTTCAATTTTGAAAGCTTTGTCAACTGATTTGCAACAAAAGAAAATCCAATAGAAATTTTCTGTTTGTACTTTCGGCATTCTTGTGTTTATAAAATGATGTACAATAATATTAAAGTTGAGTTCTCGTTAATGTTTTTCGGCAAGTTACAGTTAATTTTCAAGTACCAAAAAGTTCTAAAATTACCATTAAAACTATCAGTGAAATAACATTTTAAAGATAAGTACCAGAATAATTAGAATACAGTTTTACAGTGACACTGAGCTCATTGTAAGTCACCTATTATACTATCTATGCAGATTATTTCATTAATTATAAGGTGACATAAGTTTGTTGTTTATTCCTGCAACAGCTCCCAGCCCATATGATCATGAGATTACTACATAGTTTGTACTGCTTGTATTGTATTTAGTCATTTTTAATTCATAAAGCAGGAAAATCACACTGATACTACTTTAAATACAAAAAAAAAACCAAGAAGGAACCCATCTTTAATACTGATTTATTTGGAGGAATATCAATGGGCATTTTCTCTGACAGGATCAAATTTATTCTTACGAGATATACTTTATGAGACAGAAGAATGATTTTATTTCATGACTGTTTAAATTATGCGTTGGTGGTAAATATAGCTTACTGGTTATATCTTCTTCACACGACTTGCATTAATTAACGCTAGTAGCAGGAGTAAGAGAAGAAATTACAACGAGATATGATCAAACAGTAGTAACTATCCACTTCTATATTACATCACTGAGATAAGATGATTATTAGTAAATGCAAATCTATGCATATTCCCAGACCTCCATGTTGAATGTTAAGATTGTGAGCTCGACAGCACAGTTAAAGATTGGACAGTTGTAAGCAGATAACTGTAGAGGAGTGATATCAGTATGTCAGAAGTTCCATTCAATTATCAAATTGGCCATCAGTTTGCTAAACATTAAGTTTGACATGCATCAGCCTCTTCCTAGCATGTGTAATATCAAACATTTACTCAGAGTATATGCCAATACATTTCTTGCATCAATCGACGATAGGGCAGGCAATGAGTAATATTTTTAAGTTTTAGGGGAAAGACTTGCACATTAAGAAGTTTGGTTGTTTCCAAATCCTTTTTGCAAATTTTGTATCCTTAAAATAATTTGTTATTTTTGCAAGAAAAAAAATAGTGTTTACACTAAAATAAATCTGTGTGATTTTCACAAGTAGAACACTACTAAAGTTACACACTGAAAAAACACAACAAAGTAATATCTATAGAACTAGAGAGTGGGTTATTGTAACCTTGTCCAGGGCTGGGTGTTACTCCGCGGGCGCTGGCTAACGTTGTTGTGGCTACAGACAAATCAAATACAGTCAACACTTAGTATAGACGGAAGAAAATACAACATATATCTAGTAAGTTACATTTACGACAAACATGTTTGATTATCAAGTTTGAGAATAAAAACATGTTCAATTGGTATAATCCACAATGGAACAGACACAATAACAAAATTCACTCAAATAAATTCTATGTCATGTTTTGAATTTCCCCTCTGAAGAAGCACAAGAGATAAGATGTGACACTATTCTTCAAGCCATTTCAAAAATGCTGCACTAACATGTTCACTATTGGACATTTTGACATAAGTCTGACCTGTCTAGTAGTTTGTCTGAAACCAATATGTTTCCATGTCCGATCGGTGTTGCATTGATTGTACTTTAACCCTAATGAAAATGATAATTTTACGAAATCATGCACGAGTCTGGTTTTCCCACCCAATAGCACATTGAAAACATCACTCATGAAACACATATCAATGTACATGTGAAACAAAATTTATGTTTTTTTTTCTCCTGACAGAGCAGAATGATAGACCAAAAATACTTTCATTGACATTTAAAGCATGTTCCTTCAACAACAAACGTTGGAATCTATTGAGTAACAACACTGACCACAAGCAATCCTGATGCAATTCCTTGAAAAATATATTTTCTTTAAACTCACTTAAAGACTTGAAATTTCATTGTAAAATGAAAACAAAGTTAGTTGGGTCTCACAACGTTAACACTCAATGAGCACTAGACCTTGGTGTGTAAAAGTGGTACCTGTCACTATTCCTCCATGTTGTAATGTAGACTAGATACTTACTTATACTCCTCCGTGTCGTTGGACAGTTCTTGCTCTATCTGCATGAATACATGGACCTGAAAAACAGAAACGATTTTTTAGCCCAGTGACTAGAAATTGAACCCCAAATTTATTTTTAGATAAACGTGCAATTTCATGTTAAATCATCTACCAAAATAAAAGACTATAAATGAGAAAATCCAACATATTCAAAAACACACCAGATGATGTTACTATATTGTTACATATCGTGATGATCTTTAGTATAAAAAAATTCTAGAAGCCTTTCATTTCCTCAAGGCATGTGTTCTCGACTTGGTGGGATGTATAGGGTACAATGCTGGTTACACTCTGTGTGCTGTGGGGGAGCTTGTACCATTTCTGTAATGACCGTCGGCCAGAGTGAGGTGAGATGGTGGGAAGACATCCGTAGGATCAGCACACGGAAACAAACAAACACCTGAGCCATGATGGATGGCACTTGGTGGGGCAGTCGCAAGCTCTCGGCCAAACGCTCTAAAAAGATAAGTACAGAAATACAAATTATCATCTATATACTATTTCATACCACCTACTGGTAGCATGATAAATTCATTATCATTGGTTGTCAGTATGAGAAAAAGTTGATATTTAACAACTTGAGAACGGATTTTCCCATTCTCCAGCACTTGGGAACATATTTTCTTCAAAAAGATCGCTTGCTGGCGCCAGATGACGTCCGAAACAGGAAATAGTGTCCACACAAAAGTGACCCTTGCAAGGAAATAGTCCTTTATAAACATATCAATACAAAGTTAGGGGAAAATATTGTGAGAATAACAACTAACATCACCATTTCAGTTGTAAATGTGCATATGGAAAAGCCAATGACAATAGGATTGTTTTCCAAATATTCATTCTACCTAGTTTTAAGGTTCATTGTGTATTCCTCCGTGCCAAACTTCTATTTGTTTACGTTTGTCACAGGCGATCGTTGACCACTGAGATTAGAAGTCATTTGGAAAACATGGTGTTTAGTTGAGTTTTTTAAATGGAGAAATATAGAAGGTAGTAGTATAAAGAGGATAAATAGTTTATCATACAGTATTTTCACCTGCGTTGGCCTCTCAATTTTGTCCACATGCTCGCGATGAGAAAATTGTTCTCACGACAAACACTGAAAATACAGTGTGATAATCTATAATCATCACATTGTAAAAATGGCAATTAATAGACTTCAGCCTGGACAAGAGTGATATGATAATCACTGTTGTACTTCCAATGATACAAATGATACAAAAGCAGAACTAGCATACACTGTACATTTTCATCATATTTAGCCATACTGAAAATGTGCATGCATGTATTAAGGTATTAATACCATATTTGACCTCAAATAATTAAAGCCCCCACTTTGGCAAATGTCCTGGGAATAGGGTGGGTGCCTGCAATTAAGCCCCCTCCCTAATTTTGTTTCTATGTAATGTCAAGAAATACCTGGTATTTCTAGAAGAGCTTTATATTATGGTAATATTACAGTGCATATGAGCTAAATATTTTGGTCGTCACTATATAAATCCTCTAGTAGGTAGATGCCTGTCTGTCCTACCTTGGATTTCTGGCATAGACTTCTGGTATTGGTCAGGCTCGCTACAGAAGATGGTGAAGGCCAGTCGTTTAAGCATGTGACTCCTTTGTTCTAGTTCCATCTCCTTACTGCTAAATAGACTTAGAGACCCAGACTGAGTCACCGTCACACGGCCTGCAAAGTACCATATACTCTTTATTTACTATCTCGCATTTAATAAAAGAGTAAAATGACTCTTCATTTTTCCTTTATTACCCGGTAATATTTACCCAAAGTTTAATATAACTAAGATTTTGTCTGAACTAAAATATGTCAAACTGACATTATGCCACCCTTGTCTGTTCTACAATTAGAGAAATACAAAATGTACCACGTAATTTTCACCGAGAATCAAGCTGCACTCCCAACTAGCAGTACATGTATCAAATTGTAGCAAGCTTATCAAATACAAGATTTCTCTGAACTGCAATTGGTAGTGTAATAAATCACTGGCATGTGTGTCCGGATTAGTGACTTAAAGCCCAGGAATAAATAAATGGTCAATTATTCACATACTGTATTAACGCTGTGATAAAATAGCAATGATTTGCTAAAAGCTGTTTTACTTGATCTTAATGTTCACAGGTTAATTCTGAAGATAGTTGAATATTTTTTTAGCAATGGTCCTGTTGATTCTCACCCATTAAATCTTTGAATGTGGTTTTGTCGTGCATCATCAGATTATCGATGATGCTCCTCCAATAACCTATACACTTGAGGTCCATCTGGAAAAACCCGGGGTCGAGCAGCATTTCCAGGGCCTCCCGACGCCACGCCTTCCTGGTGTACTGGTACCCACTCACACTCGCCAGGATCTGAGAACAGGCTCTGTAGCTCGGCAGATTGTGGGATCTAACAAAATAAAGATCATCAAGTATGTACTGTCTATTTATACTAGATAGGATCTGAGAACAGGCTCTGTAGCTCGGCAGATTGTGGGATCTAACAAAATAAAGATCATCAAGAATGTACTGTCTATTTATAATACATAGGATCTGAGAACAGGCTCTGTAGCGTTGCAGATTGTGGGATCTAACAAAATAAAGATCATTAAGTATGTACTGTCTATTTATACTAGATAGGATCTGAGAACAGGCTCTGTAGCTCGGCAGATTGTGGGATCTAAACAAAATAAAGATCATCAAGAATGTACTGTATTTTTATAACACATAGGATCTGAGAACAGGCTCTGTAGCTCTGCAGATTGTGGGATCTAACAAAATAAAGATCATCAAGAATGTACTGTATTTTTATAACACATAGGATCTGAGAACAGGCTCTGTAGCGTTGCAGATTGTGGGATCTAACAAAATAAAGATCATTAAGTATGTACTGTCTATTTATACTAGATAGGATCTGAGAACAGGCTCTGTAGCTCGGCAGATTGTGGGATCTAACAAAATAAAGATCATCAAGAACGTACTGTCTATTTATAATACATAGGATCTGAGAACAGGCTCTGTAGCTCTGCAGATTGTGGGATCTAACAAAATAAAGATCATCAAGAATGTACTGTCTTTTTATAACACATAGGATCTGAGAACAGGCTCTGTAGCGTTGCAGATTGTGGGATCTAACAAAATAAAGATCATCAAGAATGTACTGTCTATTTATAATACATAGGATCTGAGAACAGGCTCTGTAGCGTTGCAGATTGTGGGATCTAACAAAATAAAGATCATCAAGAACGTACTGTCTATTTATAATACATAGTATCTGAGAACAGGCTCTGTAGCTCGGCAGATTGTGGGATCTAAACAAAATAAAGATCATCAAGAATGTACTGTCTTTTTATACTAGATAGGATCGGAGAACTGGCTCTGTAGTCCGGCAGATTGTGGGATCTAAAATAAAGTAAGATCATCAAGAATGTGCTTTCTACTTGTTTTAGATAGGATCTGAGAGCACAATTAACAGGAATCTCTGAAGTTTAAGCTCAATATGTGAAATACAATGTGGTTGAATGTTTTGGCTGGATGTTATTGATACATACGTATGGTTACGGAGGTAAGGGAAGACGTTGTACATGATGGTTGTCAGGAATGGAGCAATTTTATCCTTCTCTTCACTACTGTACACCACATCTAATAGAGGAGACGTCAGCTAAAATAAGCAAATAGTGATACCTTTTATTTTAACACTTAAAATTAATTCAGCATCAATATTATCATTTTTGATGCAAACTCTTGGGTGCTGACTCTATACCAGGAAATGTTTGCCACAGTTTAATCTTTGCCTTTTTTGCCCTCCACAATGAGGTCATATTTATCATGACAGTGATAATTAGTACGAAAACTTCCCTATCTAGTAATTAGATATAAAGGGCAAAATATACACTGGGCAAACAGGGATCTGACCGGTAAAGGTCTAGTATTTCATGAATGGGTGAACATTTCCTGGTACACAGTATGTAACCTGTTATGAACCTCACACTTATGCAAGTTGAGTTCATGCTAAAATAGAGTAATTCAGTAATATGAACATTCCTGCAATGTTCTTATTGACTGTACAAAGAAATATTAATTAATATGCAAGCAGACTGCAGTGACCTACCTCAGCCAAGATGGACAAAGCTTGAACACTGTACTTCGAGTCAACAGCACTGGTCAGTTTGGGGTCCACCACTCGCCTCTCTCTAGCTGCTGCTTCAGAATCTGTGACAATGGACAGAAAATGACACTGTGAATGCTAAGTGAATGCTAAATAACTCAGCACACATATTTCCTGTAGTAGATATCTCAGGTATTTCCATCTCTGTTTCAGAACTGCAATAACAGGCTATTAGTAAATGATTACATCAATGGTTCATCAGCCAATGATTACATCAATGGTTCATCAGTCAATGATTACATCAATGGTTCGTCAGTCAATGATTACATCAATGGTTCATCAGTCAATGATTACATCCATGGTTCATCAGTCAATGAATTCATCAATGGTTCATCAGTCAATGGATTCTTCAATGGTTCATCAGTCAATGATTACATCAATGGTTCATCAGTCAATGATTACATCTATGGTTCATCAGTAAATGATTACATCAATGGTTCATCAGTCAATGATTACATCAATGTTTCATCAGTCAATGATTACATCCATAACAATCCATCAGCCAACCATCACTAATTAACGAATCGCCTACAATCGTCTATTTACATTATCTACAAACGAGGTAATTAATATGTTATTCCATTTATTTGTTCTTGTTTTTACAATAAACAATGAAATTGTGTGCATGAATAATAGTTGGTTGTTTAATTGTACTGTAGAATAACTACATAATACATGTATTGTTGTTTATTCAGGTTTTTGAATTAATAATGTTGTACACCATTTTACATTTTTTTGTCTTGAATCCAGAATCAAGTAAAGAGTGGTTTAGTACTGAATATATGATAACTTGTATACAGGATTTGGACCAGTACATGTTGTAAACTGATGCGAAAACATTGTGCCATACCATAAAACTAATAATTACCCATCTCAACATCATCACCAACATCCTCATCATCCATCTCTGGGCGGTCAGTCTGTGGGCCAGGCTTGACCGCCAGATTCCGCCGGAGCCAGGTGGTCTGCTCCAGTGAGGAACCTGCAATTAGTCCTACAGCCTCCAATAACTTCTGTGTGATGTCCTGAAATGGTAGAATGAACAATTCAAAAATAGAGTTGTTCAAAGACAAGCCGAATGCCCAGTTGAAATCATCCCAGTCTTTTAGGAGCTGGGATGGCCACATGGAAACTGAAAAGCTAGGATTCTTGATAATACAGATTCAATGTTATAGTAAAAGTCCAAATGTATCTATCATAGTCGAGAGATCATAGGTATGGTATTAGCTTAAATAGTTCGGTTCAATCCCAACCTATTGCATTATCCTATCTTGGTTTATCATGCCATAAACTGTGATGGATAGGACTTTCAACACGCTGATTAAGTCCCAGCATATCTTACTTTCAGAAATAACTCAAGCCTAGAATATCCTTGAGATATTCCTGAAAATTTAAGAATTTTCTTCAAAGGTGGTATGTTTGCCAGGAATTGATGCTGCACAGACTTTCATTACAGAAGGCAGTACTCAGTATAAATATACAGGTAAAACAATCTAATAATAAATAAATTACTGTACCTGTAACTCCTTCTGATTTTTCTTGTTCTCCAATGATGGCATCTTCTGGACAAACTCATTCAGAATTCTGTAAAACATTGATCAAATGATCACCCAATGTCCTAACAAACATGAAAACAATTTAACAGTATAGGTATCTAAAAGAACTCTTAGTGTAGAGTGCTTTCGTGCATTTCAAAGAGAACTGCAATTATATCTTTGTACATTAAACATGTTTAGATCTAGAGTTGTATTGTTAAGTACTTCTGCTCTCATTGGTAACATAGGACATCATATACATTTGTATACCTGATGAAGAGATTCATGGGGCCTGCATAGCTAACCAAGTTTTCACCAATTTGAAAAATAACACCACTTAGTCAGGGAACAAGACAAATGCAACATTTCTTATTTACACTAAACCTCTTTGACTTGAGTCTTTTGATAGTTGAAAAGGTAAACAAATGCAATATATATTAAAATGATCTATAAAACACAGCATTTAACCTCAAGTAATACAAAACCCTCTACATTGTATAAGGATGTTTTAACACTACTACGTTAACAGGAATATTCCCACTGTGTACTCAATTATCAGGGCTATTCCAACCATGTACTTAATTAACAGGGATATTCCAACCATGTACTGAATTAACAGGAATATTCCCACTGTGCACTCAATTAACAGAGATATTCCAACCATGTACTTAATAATTATCAGGAATATTCCCACTGTGCACTCAATTAACGGGGATATTCCAACCATGTACTTAATTATCAGGAATATTCCAACCATATACTCAATTAACAGGGCTATTCCAACCATGTACTCAATTGACAGGGCTATTCCAACCATGTACTTAATTAACGGGGATATTCCAACCATGTACTTAATTATCAGGAATATTCCAACCATATACTCAATTAACAGGGCTATTCCAACCATGTACTTAATTAACAGGGATATTCCAACCATGTACTGAATTAACTGGGATGTTCCAAACATGTACTCAATTAACTGGGATATTGCAACCATGTACTCAATTAACAGGAAATATTCCAACCATGTACTGAATTAACTGGGATATTCCAACCATGTACTCAATTGACAGGGCTATTCCAACCATGTACTTAATTAACAGGGATATTCCAACCATGTTATGTATTCAATAAACAGGGCTATTCCAACCATGTACTAATTAACAGGGATATTCCAACCATGTTATGTATTCAATTAACAGGGCTATTCCAACTATGTACTTAATTTACTGGGATACTCCAACTATTAAGCAAATTTACTGGGATATTCCAATTAATTAAACATGTGGGTCAGAATTTGCATTTTGTTTGAATATAGGACCAGGTATGACACACTTACTGTAAGAGTATGAATTTTCCAGGAGGTAGGAGATTAAGCTGCAGACTGTCTCGCAGCAAGGAACACAGTGAGTTCCAGGAATCGACCAGCTGACTGGCTGATGTCTGTTGTACATAGGCATAGAAAAACTGGAGCATATTCACCTCCAGAGGTACATTCTTCTAAAATGGAAAAAGAGACAAAATAGCAAATATAAAGTAATGATTTAGAAATACACATCACTTTAATTACATGATAAACTGTCAGGTCACGATACACATATCTGTGATATAAATTACCGACATGATTTAAGTTATCAGATCATGCGTTAGCACAATATTATGTGTCCGCCAGGATTTATACCTGAAATGTTGCATTTAAATACAGACAAACCGGTTGAACCAGATACACAAAAAGGCCTATTGTAACAGTCATTTCTCAGCCTCATAATTTTTTTTTAACTTATAAATCTGTTTTTCAAAGTAAAAGTTTCCAGTTTTAGACAATACATACCCTGGTTCTACTGAGGTTGGTTGGCGGAGGCTGTTTTAACACCTGCTTGACCGTCTGAACGAGAGTGTCTATAGGCAGGACTCTGATGGCACTGACCAGGTCCACTAGTAGTAGCTGGTCATCTGTGGCTGGTACAGATCCCTATGAAATAGGCAATGCTCTGTTAGGCCTGTTTATTTCTTAAAGCTTGAGAATAAACTGTAATTTACACAGGATTAATAAGAGGCCCAGAAATACCTTATTACATACCTTCTTATATGAGATTCCATTTTTCCGTGTACGGTCATTCCAGGCCACTCCAACAGCAGCCAGCAAGTTGCTTCCATGGGGCAGTGAAATTGGACTCAAAAACTCCAGGATCTTCTGGCGGACCACCTTTAGGTAAAATGTGTCCACGAAATGTAAAAAAGACATATGGAAGAGACGATGTCCTGTGTTGGATGAATGGCTATACCTACTTTTTTGACCTTGGTGTGGATAACTTAATGAATGCAGGGTGTGACATAAGAATACTAGACAGGAAGTGCTGCAACCACAACTATCAATACAGGTACTGCTTTGTTTCAATATACTGCTGATACATATTATCTTTATCCAGACAAGTTTCACTGATATATGTCAGCCACTCACGAAATATTTCCTACATGTCAAGGTCAAACTTACTTTTGGCGTTCCCATGATCCAGGTAGGATGAAATTTGCTCTCATCTCCAACTTGCTCCTCCGCGAACTTGACAGCCTTCCAGAGTGAGGTGAGACAGGCAATGATGCGTGGCATGATGCTGAGAAGACTTCGGCGTGCGTCCATAATGGGTACCAGAGGGGTCTCTCTCTGGGGACTCGTCTCCTGGACAATTAATTGATTCATTACGACTACACTTTGTTTTTAATGGCAAGAAACTATATCAAATCTTACAAACTTACTGGTGAATACATACCTGGTATATATAAATTTATGTATTATATCATGTGAAAAGAGAAATATTTAGAAGTATGAAATTATTCACATATTTATATTTTCATCAAAGCAAAATGGGAGACATTGAAGTTACAGCCATTGATCGAAGACAATCGCTGAACGGTAAATCTTTGCAACACCTCTTTAAAGATTTGGATGCTAAATCCCCTTACAACTAATAACTAGAACACTGACAGGTCAGTAAGGGCCCCATCTTGTGGTAATATATCCTCCATAATCATCAAGAAGCAATCTGCCCATATAGCTGAGCTTGACGTTTGACATTTGGACTTCAAAAAGAATCGCAAGGAAGTAAAATATACATTTTACATGTACTATGATGTGAGTCGTGTTTCCTTCCATCTCCATATTTGCTGGCCTAACAGAAATGTAAATGCCAGTGCAATACCCATTTGTTAGCTTTGATTTGTTTTATTTCACCTTAAATACCTCCTCCATCAAGAGCAAGGGTCAAAGTCAGGGATCCACTTAGTCTTTGACCTTTGGCCCCAAATGACCTTGACCTTTAACCCAGTGACCATGATCTTTGGTCAGTTGACTTATTCTTCAATTCCGACCAACTTTCCTTCATAATGTCATAACAAAATGTTCATCAGGGTAAAGATACAAAATTTAACCTTACCTTTGACCCAGTGACCTTGACTTTTGGTCAATTGACTCCTTGTTTAATTCTGACCAACTTTGCTTCATCATGTCATAACGAAGGGTTCATCAGTGAAAAGATGCAAAATTTGACCTTTGAACCTAATGACCTTAACCTTTTTATCTCTGTGTGTATTTTTGTGAACTGAACATCTTGACCAAGTTTCATGTAAATCGGTCAATAAATACAAAAGTTATCAGCCAGTAACAAATTTGTGGACGGACAGACAGACGGACAGACAGAGTGATTACTATAAGGCACCCGTATCTCCGATATGGGGCCCTAATAAAAACATTACAGTTGCATGAAGTTACTCAACATTTTATCATAATTATTAGTGAAAATATATAATTAGAAGTGATGAGGAATTGGGAGTATTTCAAATTAATTTAATAGAATATCAAATGCACAACAATTCCTTATGCATGTTTTGGCAAATCTTATGCAATTAATTTTCTTATTCAGTTTAGACAGTCTTAAGCTGACCACCAATGTGATCTGGTTGGATACCTACCCTACTACTCCCTATAGGGTTGAAGACATTGATGAGGTTGGTGAAGATCTGTCCTCTACTGCCTGTTTCTGTAGTGATGTTGATGCTGGTTGGAGCAGGCAGGCCAATGGACACTGGGGAGGCATTGTCCAGCAGACAGTAATGACAGATGGTGGTCATCCCCTCTATGATGGTCAGTAAGTGGTCAGGTGGCATCTTCTCCTGACCTCTATAGGAAAAGAACAAAGGCATGAGGAGCAAGATTTATTTTTAAAATTAATAAACAGATATATGCCTGATCACTCAAGCTCACTTACATCTTTTTATTAATGCATGCACATTTCAAATGTGAAGACAACACTATATATGAAATGATTCAGGATACATGCATTATGAAATCTTAAATTATTTTGATGACTGATACCTAATTCCCCTACTGCGCTGGCCTAGAAACACCTTTATTCAAACTAGACCTGCCACCAGAATGAGACTTATAACCCCACCTGTATCAGAACATTTTTCAAACGAAGAAAGATAACTCCATAATAAGGGGAAGTAACTGATTTTTTTTTTATACTTTTAACAACATCTTCTCGATTTAAGGGTTCTGCCTTTCCCTGCTTCCCAAATTTAAATTTAGAAAGATTATGATCAATTTGTTACGGGTTAAATCTAGATGCACTATTCCATCCTAACAGACATTAATTTTACCTTATTCCAGTGTGGTCCTCATACTTGGCAGCCACTACCTCAATGTTGCGACAAAGCTGGGCCACCACATTCATCACAATACTGGGCAGGGCTTTACCCATGAATGGCAGGCTAGAAGTCACCATAGCAACCCAGTGACGGTGCATATGGCGATTGTGTGACTGTTTCATGGCACTGAGAACACATGACAGGAACATCCTCTGATGCACTATGGGAAGGGAGCTCATGAACCTGGCATGGAGTAATGACTGCTGGAAGTTTACCCGAGGACGTTCCCATTCAGTTGAAGAAGTGACTGTCGCTGAAGCCTCAGACAAATCGGAAAAGCTTTTGTCAATGCTGCCCTCCAACATGATAAGAACCAGCATTAAGTTGAGCAGACGGATCTGAAATGTCTCGTTAACAGACAGGTCTAGATTTTCTTCATTGAATCTTATGATAACTTCAGTAATTTTCGACGTAACAGCAACATTTTTGTCTTTCTTTCTTAAGTTATAGACAGAGGCAAGACAGCAGTGCAGCAGGGCTTTTTGCAGTTTACACCTCACCAGGAGATCTTTGATGTAGGACACAAAACTTTTCCCACTTTCTTTCATAATAACTATCAGCTCCGACATTAAAAGGGTCAGTATTTCAGTAGCCAGGATGTGGACTTCTTTGTTGCCTAGCAACTCACCATTTGACAGCTTGCTTATCATCAGGTTTGGAAAGTAGCTCCTCACAAAATATAAACATACAGATATGATGACTTCAATGTACATGTTACTACGGTAACTTGACATGACCTCTGGGGGAAGATCCCCAAAAAAGTTTTTTCCAAACACTGATTTTCTATGACGAGCCAATAAAAGTTGCAGTTTGGCTAGTTGCGATGTTCTTGTTGCACTAATACTTGTAGTCACCAAAGCAGTGACCACAAGTCTTGGACAAGTGACCAGCATGGATTTCAATGTGGTTAAAGCATATAATGTTCGTTTGTGGTCATACTTCTGTGTGTATAATAGCATGTGCATATGCAGTGGGTGAACGTCACTGAAATTTCTGTCTCGTCCGCTGACTGTGGGCTGGGAAGTTGCTAAATCTACTTCACTCTCTGTGGGAGAGTCTATATCCATGCCGCTATTATCCACAGTGTTTAGAATGTCTTGGTCCTCTATAACACTACTAGTCTTTGATGACACGCTGGATAACCGTGCTCGATTTCCTCCTTTTGATTCAAACTCTTTTGGAACAGTACTATCCAAATCCTCTAAAATATAATCCTCAATGTCGTCTGGATCATCTTGTTCAAGGGGAACAGAACTCTCTAAAGAAGGAGGAACAACATTGTTCAAGACTTCCATCAGAATGTCATTAATCACTGTCTCAGATCCAGCTAACAATGGGCTATCCTCTTGTTGACAGCTTGTTTCAGTAGAGCTCTGTGACCCAGTTTCATTTGTATCAAAGAATATACCTTCCTTAGCACAAGTCTCACGATTTAGCCGTGTTGCTCCATTTAGATTTACTTGTTGAGTAGGTGTCTCGTACCCTTCAAATTCTAACTTATCCAGACTACTCTCCGAGCCGAACGGATTGATGCAGAGGCTGAGATCGCTGGGACGGACACGATCAAAGTGCATCTCCTGTTGGTGCCTCGTTTGAGCAGTCGTGGCAGAACCTTGTTTGTCCATAGAAGTGAGTGCAAAAGATTTCACATCATCTGCTCGTTTACCTAACATTGGCTTACTAGCGGAGTTAACATGGTAGATTATGTTACCACCTTCACTACTGATAGCATAAATCTGAGATTCATTTCCTGGAATGTCTTCCTCCTCGCTCATTGGTACTTTTTTGGGCTTGTGTACATTGATGTGTTGAACAGAAATCCTGAAAAAACAATATTGAATAATCTCATTTCGCAACTCTTAGCTTGTACATGAACTTTGAAAAACTGGTCAAAGGGGCTTAACATACAACCTTGTATTCACAAGAGTATATACATACTTGTCAAAGGGGCTTATAATACTGACCACAGGGGCTTGTATATACATGCCACAGGATCTTGTATATATAATGTACTAGTCAAAAGGGCTTGTTCCATAAAGACATTTACATATTGATCACAGGAGCTTGTAGATTCTTTTCAAAAGGTTTTATACATACTAGCCTTATGGTCTTGCACATACTGAGTACTAGCCACAGGGGTTAAAGCCTTAGTAAATACTACAACATCTTGTAAAAGAGAGGAATGAGACCCAATATTAACTTTGAGTTAAATGAAATATACAGTACTTTATTTGTACTTCGTAATTTATACGATTTTGAGCCATGTATCACTGTGACTGACTTTTGGGTATAGATCTGTGTATGGTTAGTGACACTCTGGGAATCACATGCCAAAGTTCCATGACAAAATGTTCAACAGGTAAATGGTTACTGTCTGGAAAGTGACTTGACGAACGGATAAATTGACAAAAGGTATGGTTTATACTCACTATAAAACTGATTTGATTCTACTAAACCTTACCTAGCAGTGTCTGGGTGGAGGAGCATAGACAGGAGAGGATTGAGGACACGACAGATGTCGCCCCGTTGTATAACGTGGGTAAGCCAGGTCGTGGCGATGGTCTTGGTAGCACTTATTTCCTCCTTCAGACTGTCCAGCAGCACCAGCATTGACCTACACAACATGTTATATACCTCAGTCAGCATACCAACACTAATATCCAGGCATTAACTATTATTTTATCTTGACATTGAACATAAGTAAGTGCAGGGACTAAATGTGATAGAGTATAATATGTTGTGTTTTATGTAAAATGTAAATGTATTTACGTAACTAATGAAACAAAACACTGCAGACCACATTTCACTAGTACTTTTTCCCATCCTGGGGCTCTTCAGGTGATTTTCTTAATAGAGCCCCAAGATGGGCAAAAGTACTAAGTGAAATTTAGTCTTCAGTTTTTTGTTTTATTTATATTTCTACAGTCGCATGGACAGTTAAAACCTTTTTTTACCGCTATATATCATTATATAGATTCAACTTTAGTTTCATTATCAATGAAAGAAAAAAAAACATGTTTACAAGTACCAGGGGCATAGCACAACAGGCATTTGTGCTTTGGCAAATGTTTGCTACCTTACAAAAACAACAGGTTGAACCTATAACCATGGTGAGAATCCAATGTGAAGGGGTCTCTCCAATCTTGATGAATAGCAATAAAGCTGACTTTGCTGCTAAAGAGCTCATTTTAAAATCACAGTTGTCTAATTTTCATTTGAATCAATCCAATACGCCTTACAGGAGATGATAACATGTAGATGGGTTTTTTACTGTTAAATATCTAATAATTCAATATGTTTGTCTGCTGTTCTATTGATAACAACATTGTATTTTTATCAATTGGTTTGTTCTACCTGTCAAATGTACGAGGAGGTTGTCCAGGGTTGGGATCTAAGCGGCTGTCCCTTGTCAGATGCCAGAGAACAGTTAACTTCTTGAATGCTCCAATACGCTCAACCTTCAACAGAAAATTATTTAAAATATTGGTTAAATATGATTTACAGTGACTGTCAAATAAACCTTATTGTATGGAATTCTAGATAGATAGTACATGCTAGAAACTCAAGACAATCCTCTGTCTAAGAAACTCTTAATTCTTCTCCTTTAATTGAAACTCAAGATGCTCCTTAAGTAGTAGGAAATTTAGATAGTCTTATGTATTATAATATATTGATAGAGACTCCTCCATATTAGAAAATTCTAAAAGCCTTTTGGATGGTAGGTGACATGTACTAATACAATGTAGTATGCCACTAATAGGTGAGCACTGACCTCCTCCTCGGACACCAGGGCATGACCAATCACATCCTCACATACCCAGCTGTCTGGGGTCACCTGGTGTAAGTGATGGAATAGCTGTACGGTTTGCTGGTGATGAGTGGGCGTTGCCTCGTCCAGGTATCCCCACAGTATACTGGCCACGCTCTGTAACATGTACAACATTAATTTATACTGTTAATACTGTCATACTTTGCGTTGCAAAAAAACAATTTGCCATCATGTTCTGAATGCTTTCTGTTTCAGCATTAATTGGTCTGTGTATTCATTTATTTTTTACTTTTGAACTTCTATTTTGTTGATTGCACTGTGCCATCTTTTGTTATAATATTTTACTTAATGCAGCATTCCCTTGGTAACAGTAAAGAAATAGGAATCTTGTGTGGTAAAACAACAGTAAATCCTGTGTATTGAACAAAAGTGAGCTCTAGATCTGGGTTTAACTATAATGACAGTGAATTGTGGGTTATATGAAATAGTGGAAAAAAGGAAAACAAAATAGTGAACCTGAGTTACAATCCTGTAATTCTGTACAGGATTACAGACAAATAGGACAGTTTCTTTACACACCTTGTAAAACGTAGTTTTCTCTCCCAGGTATTTAAGATGGATGGGTAACAGTGCAGGCATAATCACAACTGAGACTGGGGATCCTTCACCGACAGACTTTGACCTTTCCCGACCTATATCAACTTTGTTCTCGCTGTCTGATTGGATCGTCTTAGCAACAATGATCAGGTCAATCATTGTTGCTATAGCTGCAGACTGCACCTCAAAGCTCTCAACGAAACAGCCACAGGCAATCAGGTCCTGTAGCCACATCGGAAGGGTCACATTCTCACCTGGACAAGAAACAAAATGAATACAAATTGAATTTCATAACATGGAAACTGAACTCAATGTCTTTTACTTGACAGATTGACCTTATAGTTTGGTTCTTACTTCCACTGTGTCCACTTTGTTATCATGTTAATTATCAATAATTTCCCTGATGACTTTTTACTAATTAAAGCATTATTTTGATGACTGTTTAACATGCCACACACTTGTATCATAACCGCTACTCCAACACCGTTCTTACTACTGCTGATGCCTGTTTGTTAACTCATTCAACCCTGAAATTTCAGAATGGACTTTTCCAACCTTTGAATTGGAAGTGCTCAAATGTATCCTTAGGGGTAAATGAGTTAACCGTAACTATACACCTAATCTGAATATTCTTTAACAATTTTAAATATGATAAGCTACATGATATGTACCTGCATTGAAAGATCGCTGGAACATTTTGTTGAAATCGGTACAAAAGATTGGAAAGCTGGTGAAATCCAACAAAAGTCGACAAGCACAATCAAACGTGTGTAAGGTCTCCTTCTGTAGGTGGTCGGCCCTTATTGGCCCCTTGTTTCTACCCTGATCCTCTGGCTGGTCGACAGGCAGACCAAGGTCGTCCTCGTCTCTGTAAGACCACAGATGCTCCGTCGATGTTTTCATTTGATTGATACAGGTGGTAATGATGCTGGGATCCTGGAAGATCTTCTGTGTAATGTAGGTGTGGAAGAAGTTCTTGTAACACTCAATACAGGACTGCATCATAGTTGTAGCAGAACTCTTCCCTGAATTGTGCCATGAGTTCTGTTCCAAAGAAGAATCACCTCCTTTTTCATTTGAAGCCTGACTGATGTCTAATCTGCTTTCCTCCGACTTATTTTCAACACTTTCCTTTAAATCAACTTCTGTCTTTTCAAATGTTTGATTGTTTCCATTTACCATTGGTTGAACTTCTCCATTTGCCTTTATCTCTTCTCCATTTTCCGTTGACACCACACATCCATTTTCCTCCAAAATATTTTTATCATCAACACAATTTGGCTCAGTTTCATCCATGTCCTTGTGCCTCTGATCAGATTGTGTTGTGGGTTCATCATTAACGAGATGCCCATTCACACCACCACTCCCATTGATAAGTCTGTCTTTACAACTGTCATCAGAGATATCCTTGTTGCTCCTCGCTTCAGGTGTCTGCGACTTTTTGTGACCGTCCAAATGATCACTTTGATGAGACATACTGCTCACACTGTATCCTTCAAATACCTGGGGGGAAAATACACAAATTAATGAACAATACATAAATAAGGGGCTAACAGGGGAAATATGGCTCGAACTCATATTTCATTTTCAAAGTCAAATTACTCAACAATGCTATTATGTAACTTTGTACATGTATATCACAACTGTTCTACAGGGTAATTATAAGTGTGCATGCTGTGCCAGTCGGCTGCCTTTGTTTCACTTGTACATTACATACATATAGATATAAGTATCCACACACTTGTTTTTAAGAAACTTGAATCTTTTCCATGCTTAATATGAATGGTCAAATATGGAGAGAAAAAACTACCGCAAATTTCAAAAAAAGTCTCAAGAAGATTGTTTATATTGTACTCAAATTTGGTCGGGTAGACCATATTGGATTCAAATTCATTAAAATGTAACAAATGAATACTTAAGTAATGCAGTATCAAGTTTGAATATGAGCTTCTGGGTGGTCAGTTAACTATTACTAATATTACTAAACATGGTCAGACAGTATTATCATTATAATGTGATCATCACACCATATCTTTTCTCTTCATACCATCATTTAATACATTTCTTACCAATGGAAGTTTCTTATGAAGTAGTTGCTGACCATATGTTTGGTCAGTTCTGAGACTTACTCCATCAGTGCTGGTGGTGTCCAGACCTAGGACATCCATGGAGGGCTGGACCTTGGCCAGGAGCTTGATACATAGCTGTAATGTACACTTGATGTCCGTCTCCTTGATCTTTGTACAGTGACTGGTCAAGGTCGTCGTTACCCGGTACAACAGATCTGGCAGATGTTCTGTCTGAGTCTCCAGAAAAGTCTCCTAAAATCACACACACACAGATCATTGTTACCAGCTTGTTAAATGGGTTTGCAGCAATTAAATCATGAATACAAAATTCACTTTACATTCTGTTGTCTAACTGTCATATTTTGAAGCAAAACACATTTTGTAGGTCATATTTTGCAGCAAAATACATTTTGTAGGTCATATTTTGCAGCAAAATACATTTTGTAGGTCCTTTTTAGAACAAAATTTAATATGTGGTATATACTTCTTTTTAATGTTTTGAGTCCACAACCCTTATTTGAATAACAGCATGATGTGAGCTGTTCAGAGGTTATAAACCAGACAAGTATCAGAATGATTTGACCTCTGAATCTTTCCTGTGACCTAGACCTTCAGGGTACAGACTAAAGAGTAGTATCAGACACACTGGTCTAATATCAAAAGGACTAATCATGGAATGTGCCCTGGTGATCTTAAGCAAAGCAATATGTGCTTTAATAGAAACAAATCCATGTACATTTGTGTACTACTGAAAATCGTACTACAGTGTATATAGGACTTGTATTTGTTTGAAAAATGATATTATGATATAATTATTGATGGTTCCAGCACCAATGTATACTAGCGAAGTATATCGATAGTACAGAGCTACACTAGTGGTACACGTGATGTGTTCAGAGCTCATTGCTTGTACATGAAGATGTGACAGGCAGACACACATGCAGACAGAAATGTTCATGGCACAATCAAATAGTTCTCTCAGTTTCACTGACACCAGTAACTATCTAGTGTATCCACACCTTATGAAATGTTCAGTAGAACCTACCAGTGAGATGACTTCCAGTAGGTAGTTGACAAGTGTGCAGAGTTCTGACAGAGAAGGAATGTCACTCTCCATCACAGACCTCTGGCGTTGCAGAAGCTGTCCTTCACCACTCGCCATTTTCTGACACGATTCCTCAAACATCCTGGCAATGTAGTCCCAAATGAAGTATGGCTCAAAAGTCCCAAACAGTAAGTTAGCAGTCTTAATCAGCTCTCCGTAAGTCTTAGACTCAGGATTTAAATTACTTTTACTCTGTTTTAATGTATCTTCAGCCCCTTCTGTTCCTAACTCAGTGTTTGTTTTATACTTGGAATGCAGTAAACCTGTCTCTCTGTACAGACACCGAAACACAGACAAAAGAACACTTTCTAAAATGACTGGTCCTATTTCAGGCTTGTCTAACAGACTCATCAATATCCTGAAAGGTTTCAGCACTAATGCAGACTTTCCCCCATGTTTGGTAACAAAGTTCTCATCCTCGCTGGCGTCGGAGAGTTTCTGTTTGAGAGCATGTATCAGGAGATCCTTCGAGTGTGTGCGGAAATACAGGAGATCAATTTCACTACCGCTGGTCATGCTGTCCTTACGTAACTGCTTCGACTTGTCAGCTGTCTGACGGCTGATGTTGCCAGAACTGTTCGCTCCCGTGCCAAGAAGCCAGGCATATAAGCGGCGGTTGAGCGACATGTCCCTGCGTAGTACCACGTTGATGACAGACTTAACAATCTTGGCCATGTCAGCCTTGGTGAGCTGACCATTACGCATGGGAAAGGCAATGAGTAGAAAGTCGAGCAGTATCCTCTGTACCAGAACGACAGAGTCCTGGGCAGCACTGCACATAGCCTCAACCTAGAAACACAACGTAACCCAACCATTATACATGTCACTGACTACAGAATGTAAACAAATATGTTGTAACTATAGTGAAAGAAATTACCCACCCNCATGAAAATCATATGCGTTGAAGGTAACTATGTTCTGGATGCTCCAATGCCATACAGATTTTTCTTCCTATATTTGCCAAAATAAACTTATACATTTGTTTACTAAGATATGTTATAGCCATCAATACCATTAAATAGAATGAATACTGTATACATATCAGTTATAAGAAGAAAGTTCTAATTATAAAATGGCTCTAATTTGAGCTTTTAGTGGAAGCTAGTAACAGTCAATTCAACAGTAGTTTCAATAAAATTTCTATCTATTATATATATACACATGTACATGTAACAAAAGGACCTCTGAATTACAGAAGGATAATACTACGTTTTCAATTGCAGTCATACATATATACCAACCATGAGGTCGATGTTGAGTCCCATCATGTAGATCTGGTCCTCCATTGTTTGTTTCTTGTTGTAGTGTGCTAGGAGGAAGGTGATGGCGGGCAAACGAACACTGGGACAGGACATAACACACTCCCACATACAGGTATAGAAATACTCGGGCTCTGCTGACTCACAGAAATCCTCAAGCAGGCCATTTGTCCTGAAATAGTCACCATCAAAACGATGAACTTATGATTTTAAATTTGTACAACATAGGTTCTTGTTTGAGAAATTGAAAAAAACCAGCTAGGGAATTGAATATTTAAAATCTGTTGAATAGACCACTATTCAAGTACTTCATAATCTTACAGTATATATGCTACAACATATTTCTAGTCAATGTATTGAATAAAGTACTACAGTACAGCTTGGGGTGGGTTTTTTGTGTGTTTTACGTCCTATTAACAGCTATATGGTCATTTAAGGACATGCCAGGTTTTGGTGGTGGAGGAAAGCCACCGATATTATAAGATGTCTGAAAATTAAAGTTTCATTGAAATCCATCTTATACTGTAAGAGTAGAAGACTGAACAAAGCTCTACTCAGCTATTAAATCAAGGGCCGTAACTCTCTTGACATCAATATGGAAACATCTTGGTGGTCACACACGGACACATGAATTCATATTTGCAAACTGACATTTAGTGCCATATAAAATCATTCATAGGTTTATATAATATGTCACAAGTTTGCAAAATCTTATTATAATACATGTACAGTATTCTATAGGAGTAGTAGACTGGGTATTGCTTTGTTAGTCTATCATGTACGACAATTTATCACATTACTGACCCATTTTACTATGCCATACGTCCATATCATAAATATAGTAATATACACATGTAATAAAACCTATAGGTGCTGCGATTAGTCAAAACCGTGGGAACACATGTACAATTCTGACGCCACTACAGGTACTACTTTGGTTTTGACCTACCTATATAGTCAGCTGATAACATAAAATTGTGTTTGAAGTGTTTTTCATATTGTGAATGTTATTTGATAAATAGAATCTTACATTTGTGTCCATGTCATTCAATAAATTCAATATGACATGGACACTGATGTCAGATCCTCTCACTTTTACACTCACCAGCTGTTGTTTATAACTGTGAATCTGATTTATATGATCCAACCAGTGTATATACCTACATGATGGTACATCAGAGTGCTTAGTTTCAACAGAAATTCATTTGGAAATAAATACATGCAGGACAAATTATGTCAACAATATTTAAAGAGGCGACAGCTGTGAATAATGTGAAGCATAAAGAGGGGAACAAAGTTCTGTGTTGAGACATATACAGATATCAGATTGTATGGAAACATTGATATGAACATCTCTGTATCATTGTTAGATAACAGCTAAATTTTCATAGCAAATTTCAAAGAAATCAATCAGAAACTGTAGCATTATTTACAATGTAAACATGTTCACACCAGACAGACAAGGGTAACAGTGTTATAACCACATATTCTGTGGCAGAGAGAGGCTATATTAATTGTTTTATTATTTGAAAAAAGTAGCCCACAGTAGGTAAAGTCAAAGAGAATTTTCAATTTATTTTAAAAAGAGATTGTATGTAGGCCATTTTTTTTTTAATTGTTTCAGGTAACATGCGTGAAAAAAAAGGGTAGGTCGATAGGCAAATAATCTATTTTCATGTTAATTTTTTATTTTTGTGAACTGATATTATCTTTATAGTTTATTTCAAATTTTACAATAAATTTCCACACATTAGTCGTAAATTTACAATGGCTATTTATTTGTCAAGAATAAGGTCAGTCTCCCAGAAAAGGAAGAAAGTACATTTTAAGCAGTGGCTGTGAACTTTGCCTGGCTAATAAATTAATCTTAGATACAAGTACCATGTAGGTGATAAAATATCACACATACTTTTTTGTTTTGCCTTATAGTAAGATCAGTGATTTCATATGTGAACTTGTGCAATATATGATAAGATAGAGTGGGAGTGAAATGGGCCATAGATAGTTCTATTTATATAATTAACAGCAGGTTAAAATGAACACCTACCGTTACTTACCTATCATAATACTCAGCTCCTTCATCCAATCCCGGGAGAAGTCCAAGGAGCAGACCATTAAGGCCTGGCTTGATGTGCCTGCCTAGACCAATGAAGTGACGCTCATACACTGTTAGTAGGGTGGGTTTTACACTCATCGCTGCATGGCCCAGTAAGGGAAATAGTCCAGCACTGTATATAAACAGGTCCTGAGCAAGCCTCTGGGTACCAATACATTTGAAGATGATGTCATAGGTCTCAAGAGCTTTAAGGTGAACGCCACTCGGAAGGGCAGGATGAAGACATTGGGCCAGTCGTTTTCCTATTGTGACACGCTTAGGAATAACAGGAAACTTGACATGTCCCAACAAGACCTGTAAAATAGACAGTATGAAGAAGAATCAGGAAAAAGGGTTGCTTTTACTGGAAATTGATTATTTGTTTCAGAACAATAAGCTGTCAAAATGCTGTCAAACTGATTTGCATGGATCATAGATTTAGTCTTTTATTGAATCAAAATCATCAATATAAAATTTTGACATTCTCATCATAAGTAATAACAAGTTGCATGGTTACTGATTTATCTCAACTAGACTGGGTAGTAATTTGTAAAGTTAATAACACTTAATCATTATAGAGTTTTATGACAGATACATAAATATAAGCTTTTGAAAACTTAATAATTGTGATACATTGTCTTATTGCAATGCCATAACAAATTTCCTGTGCATTTTGATATACTGGTTTTCTCAGTTTGATATACTGGTTTTCTCAGTTTGATATACTGGTTTTCTCATATACTGAAAGCTCTACTAAATACAATGACAGAGTTACATGTAGATGCCCTTGTTGAAACCCACATTGTATACACAGTACATTAGGTATTTCTTTGTAAGGACATGTTTTACCCATAACTTCAGAATCCTTGAATTGCACAATATATATATATGAATACATGAAGCAAGCCCACATTGCTCTTTATTTTTTCAGTAAAGACCTACCAAGTATCTTCTGTAATTATTTTCTGCATGTAACCCATTAAACAGACATAATTTTGTTTGGTCTGAGTTGACTAAGATACCACGCACTCCAACACTTGACTTCGTTCACAGATTAACTGAAGCAGGTGCACGTGAAAGGTGTGTACAATGCAAACAAACATACCTTGTTTAGTTTCCCTAGAGCAGAGATGAGATCTGCCCACTCACTGGTGTTCTCAAAGCTGCGGAGGGCTTTGTCCACTTGTGTGATGTAGGCCCTGTATTTAGAGTCATTCAGCAACTCACACTCCTCCGCCAGGATAGATAGTGCACTCATCCTGACTCAGCTGTTCCACCTGTCAAAAATGTCAAATGGGTATAAACTAAAACGTTTTGAAAAAAATATACCAAAGGTGATAATAGAATCACATCTTAATAACGTCACAGGCAATGAAACCGAGGAATTACGAATAAGTAAAATCAATCAAAACACAAAATTTCTCACTGAGGTTCTATAAAATAAGACAAGGTTATCAAAGAATTTCATGTCAATTCAACATCTGATCTACATGTAGGTGAAGATTGGAATGCAATAGCCAACTACATGTATTCATCAGATCTAGTCTCCAGTAACTGTTTATCAAACAGTCCCTTTTTCTAACTTGCTCAGATCATTTTCCTTGAGACATATTAAGAGAATGAGATGTTACATGTATAGGATTAATCATAACATCTCCAAAATGGATAATTTGATAGTGTAATTGCAAGTATTATAAATACTGGTATATATAACTTTTATTGATGACACCAAGGGAGACAATTTCAGATTTGTAAACCCAATAGTTCATTTTTTTGAAAGTGAAATACATCATCATTACATGTAAATGCAGTTCTCCTGAATTAATGTGTTTTTGATGTACATGGGTCCATAGACCCCTCAAAACTGAAATTGACCCCTCCATGTTCCCATATTTTTTTTTAATTTTACATAGAATGGCCCCTTTAACTATGATATTGACTAAAAATTGCTGAAAATGGCCCACTGTTCTTAAATTCCATGATTTTCCCTATGTACCTAGTGTGATTAGTTATATAGCGAACTGGACTGGGTGATCCTCAGCAACCAGGTAGCCCAATCACCAACACTTGGTAGAGATGTAACTTATTTGTTGTAAGTTGTTGGAACATATTATAGTAAGTAACATCATGAATCATGCTGATAACAATAACATTCTTTATCCCTTACAACATGGTTTTATACAATCTAGATCATGTGAGAGTCAACTATTAGAATTTATTGATGACATCTCAAGACATTTAGAAGATGGTAAACAGACAGATGTATTGATTTTGGATTTTAGTAAGGCCTTTGATAAGGTGAGTCATTCTCTCCTTATCCACAAACTTAGGGGGTATGGAATTACTGGACCAGTCAATACCTGGATTTAGGGCTTCCTAAGTGACAGAACCCAGACTGTTGTAGTAGAGGGGGAAATGTCCGATTCTGCCCCAGTAAGATCAGGGGTCCCCCAAGTCTTTTCTTATACTACATCAATGATATCACTGAGGGTATAACATCTTCTATCAGACTCTTTGCAGATGATACCATCATGTATCTGACAGTAACATCTCAGAGAGATGCTCACACCCTGCAAAAGGTCTTGATAAACTGGCACTTTGGGAGATAAATGGAGGATATGGCTTTCCATCCTGATAAATGCCAAGTCCTCTCTGTCACAAGGAATAGACATCCCATCTGTCATCCCTACATGGTCACGAGTTGGAGCATGTGACAGAGGCTAAATATCTTGGGGTCACCATTACTTCTGATCTAAAATGGAGTCCTCATATCGCTAACATCACAAAAAAGGCCAATTCCACTCTGGGCTTCCTGAGGCGCAATCTCAAAATGCCATTCTCTAGGCCTGTAAGTCCCCGGTCCGCCCTCAGGTTGAATACGCTAGCCTGGAGTATGGGACCCTTACTTAAAAAAAGATATAGACAAGATAGAAATGGTACAGCGCAGGGCTGCCCGTTTCGTTGTCAACTGCTATCGTAACACCTCCAGCGTTGGCAACAGGTTAGAACACCTAAAATGGCGTAGTCTTGCAGATCGCAGGAAAGACGCGAGGCTGACCATGCTCTATAAAATCCATCACAATAAAGTTGCCATTACTACTAAATATCTCACCGCTATAACCAGACAAACAAGGCATAGTCATCAAACCTCATTTCAAACTATCTCATGCAGGACGTCTGTAAGGAAGGAATCATTCTTTCCCCGGACTATCAAAGATTGTAACAAACTCCCTTCTCAAATTATTTCTTCTGATTCACTTCTGTCCTTCAAATCATCTATCTCTGCTCATCAATATTAAGTTCTGTTCCTTTCCTTTCATAGCGCTACACCTATATATGACATGATCTTCACTATGCTGAAGTATGTCATCAAATGGTAACAGTAGAAGTGGGGACTATGGTAACATTATCAGGGTGAACGGACCCGGAAATTAGGTCCTCTAACTGCTACTGGTGTCCCAGTCAAGTAGCCTAGTTTCTATACAACTTTGACTAACAGCTTTCATTGAACAGTGATAGGATAATATTTTTTGAAAATATGGGGAACAACACCCGCAATGTTTCGGTAAGAAAATGAGTCATATACACAACGCACAGGTGTCAGTCAAGGCACCCGTCATCTGGACCTGTGCATTTGAATATCCAATTTCCCTGTAATAACCGAAGTTGGTTCGTAGAACACATTTGTAACCTACAGTACCACAAAAATTTAAACATCGGCTAACAAATCTTAGAAGAACTTACCTTTTCATACTATGAAAGGCTATGTGATGTAAATAAAATATGCATTTGTTATCACGTAGGACCAATCGATTGAAGCGTCATAAACACACTGATGATGCTTCTGGAGTTATGGGGTAAAAGGCGGATAAACTTTACTGAAAATTGACGGATCAGTGGATAACGGTCACTTTTCAGATAGTGTAATGTTATATAAAAAAAAACGCTTTCGATTTTAAATTGTATTATTATATCAACATGTAATTTGTAGTATGTCAAATTAAACAGTACGCATGTTCACCGGAAAACTAATTACTACAACACATCAGGTCGACTTAAAAAATATATAAGAAAACGCTACAATGGGCCAGAAAAGCAATTGATATTGTACATGTCCAGCAAATTAAAATGATATATCATGTTTATACAGATCAAACCAAACAAAATATTCAAACGTATTATCAAAGATAGAAAGTGCTATTCTTATATCTGAGAAGGAAGGGCAAAAGCTATATTTAAAGATGATACTCACACTTTTTTTGGTGTGTCAAATCAAAGACGTATATATATATATGCTACCTTGGCTTTATATGTCTCTGGTCAAATTAACCTTCTATAGGCACTTATATATCTTCTTTTGATTGCTCTTTGTCAACATTGGTAATCTAAAAAGCAAAGTGCAATTATGGTTAACCAGACCAAAAAGGCAGCATCAATATAAAGCACCGCTTACCCAGGGGAAATGACATGTAATGTACAGATATTTACAATGTAATTAATCAGCTGTAATGTTCTAAAATCTGCTGACAAAATTGTTGTGTTCCTCCTGCTTAATTAATACGAACCCCATGTAATGTTACATATCCACACATCTATGTCTAAAAGTGAAATTTTACCAAACAATTTTTGCTTCTGAGTTTGATGTAGTTTTAAAGCATGTAGACATGGGACGCATATATACTTTTCATTCAATTTAGTTTTGTGAAATTTGAAATTTGCGAATGCGTGGATCACGTGAAAAGTTAAACACCGGGAAATACAGTTTAATACCGCTTAATTATATACCCACATGTATACGTGAACAACCAATTTATGTTCAGTGTGAAATCAAACTATCACTGTCACGAACACATTTGAGTACAATGTAGCATGACAGATTAAATTATTTATTTGATTGGAATACTGCTTAAGATGTCAGCTGAATCGGGATACGAAAATGAAAATGGACGTTTTCCCTCTACAATGTTTTTTTGTTTATTTCACTTAAAACCAATAACAGGTAAGTCTGTTTGTGTGAAATAAGCGTATATATACTATATTTGTCCTCTTTAACGTGTATTGAAATACATGTATATATTCTATGCATTTTTTCCAGAAAAGAAACAGGTTCCCAAATATCCACTCATCGCTAGCTTTAAGATACGAGAAACTCAAACTCGAAAAATAACTTTGACTTTGCTCTAGTTGGTGATACTCAATTCAACTAGACTACACACTATTTGTTTTGTGTTTGTTTTAAAACACAATATCTATAAAACATGAAATGGAAAAGTTTGGATTTGTTAACGGTCTCAGGTGACATGTATATGACAAAATCGGAAGGTATATTCTCAAAATAATGTGCCACCACTCATCACGAAGTTTTGGATCCTAACCCTGAAGATATATTTTTTGAAACACAGCCAAATAAGCGTTTTCGTGTTGATATTATAAAGAATTTAGTAAATGTCAGCTCCACCATTAATACAAAAATAAGAAAACTTAGAATTCAGAAATTACGTTAAAATAATCCTAATATCGTTCATGATATACATACATTTTTTACCTTTTAAACATCGCCAGTTTTCGTTCCAGATAACTAACCTCAGGTATAAACAACAATCTTTCTTCCGACATTGTGGAGAACATGAAACGCGCCGGTACACATGGCCACCACCTGTGTTAGTTGGAGCACGGAATTAGATTAGAGGGTGCTATCTAAGTCCGTGGTTGGAGGATCGGTTATAAATGCCATTTGGCTATGACATTCACAGGTAAGATCATTGGGTAATTAGTTTACACTTTGTACGAATACGATGTTTTCGATGTCATTGCAACCGTCATCGTTTCCAGTTATCTAAATAGTAGAATTGGAAATTCAGTTGACTGCATAGAGTCATATACCGTCCCTACATGTAGGTTAACTCTCAATACGCTCTCATTGTACTTTTGTATACGACAATGATACTGGTTTGTCTAATCGTATATCTGGTGATATGGTATTGTTAAATACTTTTGGTCGTAAACTGTTACAATTGTGTAAAAGTACCGGCCTTCGGGTATGGTAGATCGCCTGGTGATAACACGGATACATTTACTTTCTACAATAATTTGGGGTCAAGTGTAATTGATAATGTTCTAATACAAAAAGATTCCTTTGGCATGATCGTTGAATTTAATGTGCGTGATTTTAATGACCATGCGCTAATTGATTTTAAATTTAATTGTTTAAACATATTTTATTGCCAAAAAAATGCAAGAGGATTGGGCACAAGTTACATGAACATTATTAACGCCCTTTCCTTATAAGATAAATAATTGTATATACACATCATAAGATGGATTTCATAGTTTAAATCAATACATTTATCTATTATTGGGAGAGAGAGAGAGAGAGAGAGAGAGAGAGAGAGAGAGAGAGAGANGAGAGAGAGAGAGAGAGAGAGAGAGAGAGAGAGTTACTTATTCATTGCAGTTTATAAATTATAATATACATCTCAATATTCAACATATAATGCACACATTCATTCTTACTTTTATTTACAAATTATGGTATATTTTGAAATTTGGTCATGAAAATGGAACCATCCAGCACAGACAGCGCAGTGATATCCTGGCACTATTCCATACTTTCAACTATTCAACAGTTAAACTATTAAATTTAATATAACATTCAGTCCAATTGAAGTACATGCAAGTGGTGATAATCTTATAAATAACGTTAAAAGTAATTTAACAATAAATACATATAGATGGAATGCTGATGAAAAAGGTTAATTGAATAGTAATTTAGATGAGCACATTAATTTATTACACAATATTGTTAATGATATACAGTCCTCTGTTGTCTCAGTAGATCACGGTATTGATCGTTTTTCATCAGTTATAAATGAAATATTTAGCCCATGTTGTCAATCTTTTTCTTCACCATCTGACAGTAAATTAAAATATCGTGTCCATAAACCCTGGTTTGACGATACATTTAGACGACTGTACAAATCGTATCGACGCAGTTTATTTTCTTTTAATTCCGATAGAACCCCTGCCAACAGCTAGATTGTCTCTTGTCGAACCCAAGCGTAAGTATAAGCGCTGTGATAGGCTGGTTAAACGAAAATATTTTAGATCAGAAGGAGACCGTTTAAGTTTGTTACGCAGAAAACAATCCTATTTTATTTTATTTTGAGTCTTGGAGACTTTTTCGACCATGTTAAAGCTGGAAGTAGTGGCGATGATGCTACGGATAATCCAAATATTTCAGACTACGATAATTCACAGATATAGATTCTCCTATAACAGAAAAGGAAGTAATGAGTGTTTTAAAAAGTGCTAAATTATGTAAAGCTCCTGGAATTGATAACACTCTTAATGAATCGTTTGTCAAACATAAGGGGACATTTGCTCCTATTCTCTCAAAACTATTTAATGTAATTTTTTGATATGGGCGTCTTTCCTTCAATATGGTCCAAGGGTTTCATTTTCCCTTTGTTCAAAAAAGGTGATGCCAATGATATACAAACAATTATAGGAGGAATCACATTGGTAAGTTGTTTATCTAAATTATTTACTAGTGTTTTAAACAATAGACTGCTAGATAAGTCTAAGGAGTACAACATCGTCTCCGATGCCCAATTCGGATTTAAACCTAGTTTTGTAACTGATGATGCTGTTTTTTCTTTACATGGTATAAATGCTTTCTAATAATCGTAAGCTTTAATGCTGTTTTGTTGACTATCGTAAGTACGGAGCCCCCAAAGGGACATAGTTAAACATTTACTAATCCGTGCGCACAGATTAGTAAATGTTTTACCATGTCCCTTCGGGGGCTCCGTAGGTTATCTCCCTTCCTTTACTCCATGTGAAATCTTAAGAGATATTTCTCTGTTTCTTCTTATGTATGCAGATAAAACTGTCCCCCTCTCAGAATCTGCCTCTGGCTTGCAGAAAATGTTAGACTCAGCGACAAATGGCAATTGACAGTCAATACGGAGAAAACAAATATTGCTGTATTTCGTAATGGCGGAAGATTACGAGCTGGCGATTTCTTTTACTTTAATGGCAATGAAATAGAAATTGTTGATAGATTTAATTACCTTGGCGTACTGCTCAGCTTTAATGGTAAGTTTACAAAAACTCAAGTTACTATTGCTGAACTAGGTCGTAAATGTATGTATAATGCGTAAAGAATTTGTAACAATTTGTCCCTCAATGTAGAATCTAAACAATGTTTTTGATGTCTATGTTTCCTCCATCCTTAATTACGGTTGGGAAACATGGGGTTTTCATGTTGCGGACAAAGTAGCCTTTGCATATCATTTCTATTTGTTATTTCAAAAGTCAGTTTATGAAGATATGAATGAATGTAATCACAGAAACTGTAATTGGCGTTGGCAATTTAGAAATTAGTATTGTCTTCTGGTTTTGGTAATATCTGGTTAACTCATTATGTTGATAATGAAAGGGTATTTTTACATTGTTTCAAGCAGCGTTTGACAGATGTTTTTATTCAAACAAGGAATGATTTTGTTGAAAGATCATCCAAATGGTATTTGTATAAACTCCTGATACATGTAAACAGCTTTACGTTACAATTTTATCTAACAAAGTCTATTCCAGATGCGTATCTTAAACTTGTTTCGAAATTACGACTTTCATCGCATCAGTTATATGTAGAAGAAGGTCGGTATCGTAGTATTCCGAGGGCGAATAGATTATGTCGTTATTGTAATCAAAACCAGGTAGAGGACGAGTTCCATTTTGTTCTGATTTGTCCATTCCATGTTAATATTCGTAAAAAAAATCATTAAAAAGTATCACTGGAGCCGTCTATCGTCATATAAACTTACGTAACAGAAAATCGGGAATATCAATTTACCAGTAGACCTACAATTTGAACTTTTTGATACATTAATATTGCCTATACTGTTATACGCGTCAGAGATATGGGGATTCGAAAATATTACCCTCCTGGAAACGATACATCTGAAATAATTTTATCAAAACTTACACTAAATGATCTAGGGTTGACATATATCTTGACATCCCAAAAAGTGTTTTGCAATTTCGCTCGTCAAACTTCCCGCTGCCCCTTGAAACTGGCCGTTGGATGGGAATTCCTCGAGAGGAAAGAGATTGTACTTTGTGTAATAGAAATGAAACAGGAGATGAATTTCATTATTTGCTTAAATGTCAACAAGAATCCATACGGCAGATTAGGGAAAAATATATTCCAAAATATTATTACATGAACCCAAATGTCGATAAAATGAAAGGAATATTTACAATATGTAACAAACGATTAAGGGTTAGTACATTTCTTGTAAAACTGCAAATAATTATAAAAAATAACAATTGAAATAAATCAGTATGTCAAAAATACTATACTTTGCATTATGGCAAATCTGAAGATAATTTACTGTGAAAATTGTGTATTCAATACATACATGTATATGAATGATGCTGATTAATCCGTTCATGTATAATGTTACTGTTTCACATGTATGAAATAATGATGTATAATCTTACTGTTTCACATGTAAAAAAATAATGCTGAATCTGTTCATGTGTTGGTTATAATGATACTTTGTAACAATACATCTGATACGTATGTACATAAATTCTTTTTGCTTTGATGATGATGATGATGATGATGATGATTCATCATGATACTTTGGTGATTGATGCTGCTGCTGATGATGATGATTGATGATGACGATGATGATGCTATCTGAGTGTAATCTTGCTTTATCATACTTAAGAAATAATGCTGAATCTAACGATGAAATAATGCTGAATCTATCTATGAAATATTGCTGAATCTGTCCATGAAATATTGCTGAATCTGTCCATGAATTAATGCTTAATGTGTCCATGAATTAATGCTTAATCTGTCCATGAATTAATGCTGAATCTGTTCATGAACTGATGCTGAATCTGTCCATGTATAGTCTACTCTCTCTGTCATGTTTGATTTGATTGATGTTATTTTGTTTGACCTCTTGTTACACACTTTGTGTGTCAGAGCGTAATAAAAAATCTTGAATCTTGAATCTAAATTCCCTTTGGCTATGTTATTAAGTGGTAAGATATACAGGTAATTAACGTACAATCTGGAGCGGTACATCGTTTTTAGACTGTACAATGCTTAAACGATGGATACAAATTTAAGACAGACCTTTATTATTATTACCACTATAAACTGTATAATACGACCAATAAAATAGGTACTTTCGCTCATTCGGCGTAAAACCCTACAAGGTTAGCGTGGTTAAAGGAGGGAAGCCGACAGTGCTATATGGACCTATTAGGTAGGAATAATGAGATAAACGAATCTTGATTTAATAACCAATATCTGTTTATCTGACACAGCTAATAGGGGTAATATTAATAATATACAATGAATCAAAATAATCTAATAAATTCTATAAAACGATGAATAGAACCAAGTGAAAGACGTGATGAGGTTTATAAGAAAGAGGACATTGGTAAAGTACAGTAAGCATTATTTATAGTTAAGAATGACGAAGAGCGGATTACATGAACGGACAACAAAAGCAAACAGCACCTGCATGACTCTAACCACTAACACACAGTCCGTCGGGTTTGACTATAAATGGTGACCCGTGTTAGAACTGTCCAATCTCGCGATGTTTTTTTCTCTCGAAAAGGCACTGAGGATGGGGTTTACAACTAGGTTCTCTTTATTAAGACATTTAGAAGAACTTCTAATATATATATATAGAATAGTCAGGAGCTGGTGTGGATGTTGCCGGTTCTTTACCTCACTTCCGGTCCAGACTTGGTGCTGCCATACGACTAGGGTTAGGTTAATGCATATATTAGGCATAGTAGCCGTCTTATAAAAAATAGACTTATACAGTAGGGACGGCTCCTTCTCTTCCCTGTCTCCCTCTTCTATCACTTCACTCCATAATTTATCCCTTCTACCCATTTCCCGTCTTTTCTTCGTCTGCTGGATAACCGAACTACTCGGTAGTGAAGCGGACGTAAAACCTATCAATCAATCTATCAATCAGGTAATTAGCAATCTGTTCAATTCACAGGTATAATATTTAGGTATGTAAACCGTGTACTACTGTCTTTTAGCTTGACGTGATACATTGAATGTATTATTTAAGTGATGCAGGCTCGCATGGATAACTTGTCTTTCGGATAAGATTATGAGTCGACTGATGTCTTTATTTGTCGATTGCTGATTTTACCCATACATTATAATTATGTTGTTTGATGTCATTGCTTACACTGGTATGCAGATAATATGTAAAGAGCGTGTCAGAATAGGCGCACATGATGAACAAGATATCGCACAAGGTTCCACTATGACGTCACACATCACGCGGCCTTGTACCACGTTCTAAAGACGGACCGTCACCTGGCCTGTCCATCATCTGAGTACCGAGAGAGACAGGGTATCGGTGACTACACGTATTATTGCATCACATGATAATAAATACAAAATTAATATTATGGAAAATCGTGGCCAAAATTAACAAATGCTATCTGACAAAACAAAAATGAAGATTAGTATTACCTTAAAATGTGGATTTAATCCGTTGTTGGTCATTCTACACGGACCAATGCATATTTTATCCCTCCTTAGAACTGGTATATATACAGTCAAATTAGTCTTGTGGACGGAGCGTTCACATTAGCTTGGTTATTGCTCAGTTCGTGTTCTCTCAGCGCAATTTCTTATATACACTCAACCAATTATAAATTACATATTCGTTTGAAATTTTATATACAAAATTACAACAAATATTGCATAGCTCCCACCAACCATCATATGCAGTTTAAGGTTCTTGTCCCCCAATGTGGCCATTCAATCACACCAATCACTATTTTTAAAGAATTTAGATAGATAGAAGATAAAAGTTTCATGAAAAAAATAACTGCGTCAAGTTTCAATTTACAACTTTGGTTATTGTATAATATAAAACTTCACTCCTTGATTTCTAAATAACTGCATAATATGCCGTTTCCAGATCTCCGTTACGTGTGATTAAATGCATATTATATTTTATCAACCCGTTCGTTCTGTATACTTCTTGGAACTTTGCTGTAAAATCTGATTTAGCCCTATTGCTATATAGATATTTAGCAGCATCCATTTATGACTTTAAGTTCATATTTCCTTTATTTCAGAGTGGTCGGATGGTGCAGTGGATAGCTCACTTAATTGCCTTTCACCAAGGCGGCGGGGGTTCGATTCCCCGATCGGACGTGAAAAGTATTGAGTCACCTGACGGCTCACGTGGGTTTTCTCAGGGTACTCCGGTTTCCTCCTACGCTAAGACCCCCCTCGCGCTTACATCAAAATAAATAATGTTTGCATTTATTTTTGCTATCCATGGATTCTATATGTAAAGTATCAAAATAACAGATGATTAAAACTTCTTTCTTTGGTTGTTTTCATTATCTATATAGAAGGAAGAAAACTTCAGGTCGAAAAGACAGCTTTAGAGAGGCACTCTTCTGAGTTATTATAACTGATGCAGTGGTACTCTTTACCTTGAATTACATGTTCACGGAACCCGTGCATGATAATTCCGCAATTTATCCGCAGGATTTATCTGGCTTTTACCCCATATCGGTAGTGCCTCACAGGGTAACTTGATTTGTTACACTGCGTCGATCGCGAGCGCCGATAAAAAAGACACCCATTCGAGTAAAAAGAAGTGTTTTGAACAAGTTCTACAGATCGTTTCGGATTATTGGATATAGAACGAAAACAAAAATAAGAGCATCAAATGTATAAACAAATATTACAGATTAAAAAAAAGTTGTTTTTATAAAAATATGCAGGAAGTTTTTTCTGTTTTACGGAGTTAATGAAATACAAAAATATAGGGCCTATATATAGGCCTACACAAATAGAATATTGTCTAAAATCATGTTAATCGATCTGTATAATGTAATAACAATCGATAGGCAAAATTGACAAAGATCACGTAGCTTTGTTGCACGGCCCTTGTTGCATCAGGTTTTACTCGTCAGTTCTAAAAGTTGAGCCGGCGTGCGACGGCATGATAATCAAGTAGCGCCCTAGCTAACACGCGTTTCGAAGGTTATATATGATCACATTTAAGTTAGCGATACAACTTGATATACAATGGACCCATCAAAAAGAGACGACATATTAAATCAAGCAAGACAAGAAATTGCGTTAGCAAATGCACAGATGTTGCTGCAGGTAATTAGTAAATTGCAATTAATGTTTAGATTTCATGAGACTTGCGTCAGATATATATGAGACACGTGCGCTTGTATTCTATGTTATCAGGTCCAGTACACTCTGCCGATTGAGCTATATAGCTATAAAGACCTATATAGCTATATACACCTATACATTATAGCTGTATTGAGCTATATTTTCTCAGACTTCAATTTTCATTAAATTAAAGCAAAGTCGCATAAAACAATAAGGCTTATGGTAATGTTGACTACAAAAAGCATACAGTTAGATGTTTATTTTCATTTTTCATAAATGTAAAATTTCCGATTTTTTTACATCATTATTTTTTAAAAAGAATCCTTATGTTTAATGTCTTTTGTTATCAACCTTGTCTGTAGAGTACAATGTAAAAGCGACTTTGGCTTTTTTTCCTTAAAAACGAAAATTACTCAAAAAATAGCTCAAAAGACCTATTCCAGATAGGTCAATAGAGCTACTATAGGTCTTTATATAACAGCTATATAGCTCAATCGGCAGAGTGTACTGGACCTGGTTAAACCTTGGTGTTATACTTCCACTGGTGTTTTGAGGGGGCGGCTTTGAGGGTCATTGATTTGAAGTTAGAGTGAATGATCCTCAGTAGGCCTATATATACCAGCCCCTCAAAACGCCAGCATACTGTCCACAGGACAGATATAACTGGTGACATTATATCTGTATATATCTTCAGCTTGTTGAAGTTGGTCATTACCATTAAGAAGTAGAAGAACAACAATTGTGGACAAGTAGTAAAACCTTAGTTAATTAAAGTGTCAGATCGTCACAAAAATATTACCCCTTTTAACTGTTTATTGCATTTTCTTCTTATGCCCATGTGCATATTTCACTGGTATTAAAAAAAATGAAGTTGTAAGCATTCAAAAGTTTTAATAAAACTGTATATTTAAATTAGTTAAAGGCACATGCAAAATTCCATCACTGGGACCTGGAAATGAGTATGTGTAGTAATTGAATAATGTTACAGACGATTCGTCCCAAAACCGGTATGCCCTAAACCATTTCGCCTCAACTTTTTGTTTGCATCGCCCAAGTTAAATTTACAGTCCATTCAACCCCATGTTTGACAACCATATTGCCCCGAGATTTCTTTTTTTGCCACAAAAGATATATATATATCGCCCAATAATTTTATCATCCCAACTGTTCTATCGCCCCATTTTAACCCTATCAAATGATATGTTAAAACTGGTGGTAAAACTGAAAATCTACAATGAAAGTATTGGAAAAAATATTTTTAATGTATAATCACACTATTGATCTATGGCATGCACATACACATAAACTCCAGCTGTTAAACACTACCGATCTATGGTACACACACATATTCAAACTTTTATTTTACTTTAATGTTTATTTTGATAGCTACTGTCATCTATAGAAACAAGATGTACAATTGAAATAGAATTGGTAGAGTCATCATAGAGGATTGTTGATATTAAAATAAACAACAAAGCCTTGTTTGTGTATTTCTTTTGAGGTTTTTGTACATGATACAAGAAACTTTATTTAACGTCGCATACAGGAGCTAATGTTCCTTGTTTACCTGTATGCGATGTTAACCTTGTATCTTGTACAAAAACCTCAAAAGAAATAATAATTAACGTTTTACCTACAACTTGCTCATTTGTTAGAGCATAAGGCTATTAAGCCTGAGGGTCTAGGGCTGGACTCCTGGCGGAGGTATTGAAAAAAGTAGTGACCTCTGTTACATTGGTCCCAACATAGAGACAAAATACTAGCAATGCTTGAAAGGGAATAGCTATGACCCCTGGAAAATTTGAAACAAGTTCTTTCCTGGAGGGGGGTATGTCACTCTAGTAATATACTAGCCTCTTACTACTGACTCGGCTAGGGAGAATTTCTCTTCAGCTCATTCAGTAGAGTTTAAGACTAGAAAGCCAGAGGTGTTTCAACTCCTGGCAGAGGCATTGAAAAATAATTACCTCTGCTAAAAAAAGAAAATAGAAAATTGCTCCTCTTATTGTATTGTTTTTTGTTTTTATTTCCAGACTGTCGCTGATAAATGTTTTAGAAAATGTGTGTACAAGCCAGGGACCTCTTTGGACAATTCAGAACAGGTAAATAAGTGTATAATTTTAAATACTTTAGATGTACATTTAAGACAAGAACATTAACAGTATTATTCAAATCTTTATAAAAATAATGACATATATTTTATTGTAATATATATATAATATAGAAAGAGAAGATTGAAACACTTGCCAAAACCTTGCCTTAACTACCATGATCAGATTGGCTACTTATATGTTGACACACAAATAGTATAAACTCATAAACTGATTTGTTTTATATTTTCAAAAAAAATACATAACTGCATATGCATCACAGCCATATCTCCTTGTTTGATTGTTATTCGTTATTTGGTATGGGCTTGGTGTGCTTTTGAACTGAAAAACTTCCTCATTTGAATTGTATATTAGAGAAAGGAACCACATTTAGTGATTATTAAAAGGCCTGCAGGCATCTCGTATAATTGTATTAATTGAAAGTGTTTGTGATGTTTTCGTAGAACATCAGTAATGTAGGTAGCTGATTTATGAAATGTTGTCTGGGTTTATTGTTTTCCTTTTAGTCAACTTAATGTAACATTTGATGAATATTGAATAAGTTGATGAGTGGTGGAGACTGAGAAACATTTATAAGGCAGAAACATAGTTTATAAATAGGATCTAATAGGATATTAGTGGATGCAGGCATTGCTGCCTCTATATCCACATCAATATGAGTTCAAGTTCATAGGCCAAGGTGACTGTTCTGTATCCATGTATACAAATGTACATTGTTGTCCATGTCCTTACAAAGAGTGGTCGCTTGACATTTTATTGAGGTATATGTGTCATTTATGCATCATCATGAATGAAATTGAAACTAACTAGCTCTGTTAAAGTATTAAGTTTTCATTTTGGAGACTTTAATGAATTCATTGCAGAAAATTATACCATTCATCTATCTGGCAGATTTATATATCGACTTTGTTCATTTCTCTATGTGACATACTGTATATATATAGCTTGTTCATTTCTCTATGTGACATACTGTATATATATAGCTAGATCATTTCCTAGACTAGAACAAACTATATTCAACTATATTTGTTCCCCCCACCCCCACCCCCATTGGACCGTTAATGTAAATACAAAGTATGTTATTAAATATTAGCATTTCGTAATTTAAATCAGTCACATTTGCTATTTGTAATAGCCTTTTTATGGAGGTTTGATAATGTATAAAAGTTTGGCTTTATACGATTATCTCAGTTTCTCAAAAACTACACACATACCATATATATACATGTACAAGTTTTAGCTCACCTTTGTTTTTTGTTTTTTTCCAGAAATGTGTAGCAATGTGCATGGACAGATATATGGATGCCTGGGATTTAACAGCCAAAACCTACGCCAGTAGACTACAACGAGAAATGTCATAGAAAATAATGTGGTATTAGAGAACTGTATAAACAAAGAGTGGGCTGAAAATAAGAACAGGAGGTACACTGCAGGTGGGACGGTAGACATAGGATGAATATTTGGTGTCTGATGAATATCGCCCAGAACGTCATCAACAACATGTGTTGTACACAGTACACATGTAAACATTTAATGTGTAAACAGACTACGACAACATAGAGACATGTCATTGTCACATTTTGTATGATCCTGTATATTAAAAACACAGGATGTGTCCGAGTTCTTATAAAAATCACTATGTTTTAATTATCAAAAATTTTGACAGAAAACTGTATTTATGACAACACTGTTACATAGATATTATGTAATATGTTAAAATCTGAAAATATGATGAGATATTATTGATTACTATACTGGTAAATTTCATAGCCAGACTCCAGTTTCACAAAATTTTCTGACTTTTTATTTTCTTAAGTGAAGTAGTGCTTTTCTATGGAAAATTTAAGATACCGAACCTACCATATGTGAAACTTTGGCCAGGCCTGTATTATTTTAACATATCAGCATGGTGTACGGTTTATTGTCTGTTCATTAAGACATTTTTTTCCAATTAACATCTTATGAAGAGGAATCATTACCTCCTTCTGTTACCATATTTATTTTGCAATAGGCCAAGGGAGTCAACACATAATTTGCTAAGACACCTCTAATGATTATTTTAACCATTAACGGACCAGTAAGATTTACGAGCAATGAGTTTTACATGTTTGTAAAGATGACATGTGGAGGAAACCATTGAAAATCAATCTTTATAAATATTCCATGTTATATTTACAACTACCAAACGTCTATGATAAAACAAAGTACACAGTATCCTTTCTGTATACGATGCAGTCTGTCAAATGACGAAGAGCTCTGTGTACAAATCATTCTGTCATATGTTTTCATATAAGTTTGTTTGATTTTGATTTATAAATAAATTAAAAAAGTCATTCTTAGCAGTGTTTTTGTTAATTCTCTTTCAAATGGTGATTTGATTTGACTTTGTAAAGTTAAGAACTCAAATGTCTTCCCATACTTTTCTATTCCATAAAGTACATTTGTTGAAAATGTCCAACATCTTTGACTGCTTTAAACAAATTTGTTAAAATAAATGACCTTTTATTGTCCCAAATCTACCCTGACTCATATCCTGGTAGCTGCTTTGTAGTGTTATATTTTTAAGTTTTCTCAAATTGAGTCCAATGAATTTATACCGGTAAGTTTTCTCAAATAAATTACCTTGGCCTACTTTACAGGTCACATGGGTTAAATATGTTGAAAAAAAATGAAATTTTATATACAGTCCAAATGTCTTTAGCCTTCATACATAAATATTTGAAGATCAGCTATGAACGTCCAAACTTCAGGGTGATTCTTTTGGTTGTCTATATATAGCTAACTCTCCGGTTAGACAACCAAATTAATCACCCCTCAGATTAGAGATTTCCCTTATAACACCCCCAAGGTATAGGGGAAGATTCTATTATTCACACTTCACACATGGAAAACGCAGGAATTCATTCAGAAACATACATCAATGTGCATTTTTTTGTTAATATGTTTTTTATTTTGCTCAAAGGGAACCCATACCTGAACAAAAGTCATACAAAACCTACATGTATAGAAGACTACACAAACATAAATACATGTTGATTGCTTACATTATATTAATTAAATGTAATTTAATGTCGAAATATTGAAAAATCAGTAAAAAAAAATGTGTTCATAATTTATTTGACAATAAAATAACATACTTTAGATGATACCATAAAGGATTTCTTTTAGTGTATACGAGTTGTCTTTCTTTGAAACATAAATAAACGTTGCCGCGCCGAAACATTTGACATATTTGTTGAAAAAAGTTTGTTCGTATTTAAAAAATAGATACAGGTTTCAGATGCTAGTTTCTTGTTAGTAGACTGAACACATTTTTAATGACAGTCATCAGTAATTTCAATATTTCTTTTTACCGACATGAGTACGATTTAGCGGTGTGTTTGGCATGTCTTCATTGTATATGAGGTCGTGTCATTCGGTTCGAATGACACGACCTCATATACAATGAAGACATGCCAAACACATTCCAAGTCCATACCACCATATCTTACTCTCCTTATGCGTTTCCAAGCACGTCTGTGTAAACATGTCTTCATTTCCATTTTATTTATAGAAAGTATTGCAAAATTCTCTTTTTGCTTTATTTTTTCCTTCTTGCTTATTACATTTTTCGGTTTCTCTACCATGACCTTGAAAACCACAAGTCGTGAACATCTGGTATTTACTGCTCTCTGCTTGACACTCAAATGCATGGGTGCCAGGAGGGACTGGTCAGTAATTTGACAGAAGAAGATGCCTGTGCAGGGTATCTCGCGTTACCGTGTCAAGTCACATCTTTTCGACTGTGGTGGTTCAACTTTCGTTGCCACAGACCTGATATGACCTTTGCTGTCACAAGGACTTAAAACAGTAACAAAATAAATAAGCAAACTAGCGTCCGCACAACAGCTTCGGAGACGGGTCTATGCCTATTGTGACATCAGCGAAAAGAGAGCCATAAATAGGACAGAACAGAAAAGAGAGGTGCCAAGAAGAAAGGGTCAGAAGATCAATCTTGTTTTCTTTCGATATTCTTTAAGCAGAATACACACAAATACCCCGATTCTGCAGAAAGCCCCACATTAATCACCCCTGATTATGTAATGCGGGGGGTAAAGCAGGTAGGTTCAGCAACAGATATGTAAACTATGTTTATGTATTTACCGGATGCGACACCTCGTCTTGTCAAATAACATAAAAATGTCCAAACGAAACGTCTTGATTCAAAGAGCACCAGAATACAGGATGTATGCTGTACACAAAACAGACACAGTTGATACAGCAAGATATAGATAGATATATATTCATACTGCTCTCTATAATTGGGAAATCATAAGTAATGTCCCGAATGAGTTAAGCTCTCCCCTTCCATTCGATCCGTGTATACTATTAATCAATAGCTTCACTGTTTCGTACCTGAACTTCCTGCGTCTGTACACATGGTATGGTAACATGGTACTTCAGGACTACAAACCATGCTAACGTCGGTGAGTTCGATCCCCGAAAGACGTCTTGAAATCATTTCGTCTGCATTCCAGAAGCTTTGAAGGACGCGACATTGCAAATGTCGCACATCCGGTTAACGATGAACAGCAATCTGGAGCTGACTGAAAAATAGTAAATTTCATATCAGATTGGAAATGAAACTTTTGTGAGTGAGAATGTTTGCCACATCAGAAGTGTATGAGCATTAAGAAGTGTAATGAATATCCAATGACAGCTAGGTAAATTGCATTTCAAACATCTGGTTTAAAACTGATCACATGACTCGACCGATGAGGGTCACACTTTGTGTAATGATAGCTTGTTTAGTGAGAGTTATTGGAGAACAAATGGACCTCACGGCATATATTAAGTCACAATGTTTGTAAAGGTTGATTGTCCAGGTACAATGTTATTGGAGTTAATGGTATTTCTGTCATAGTGGCCACCAATTTGCATACTTATGAGCATTTCGTATCATTAATTAGTACAGAAATGTGTTAATTCTTTTCTCTGACAAAAAATCAATATAACACTTCATCTGTTATTTGTGCTTGTCTAGTTACGAAGTAATTGCTATCGCTGGTGTGACTTGTAATTCAAATAAATGACATTGTCTTACTTGCAAGGTCACATAGGTTGCATATGATAAAAGCCTACGATACCGTCTACAGGACAGTGATGTCTAGAGTAAAGATGTTGGTCCTGTAGCTTGTTATGGTGAAGATCAATCAAGTTTGTTAAAACGTTTTAAATTGATCCTCTTTTTAAGATCACTTGATTATATCTGTTAGGGATTTTAACGAGTTTACAGCTACGAAGGCAAAACATCACGATATTTGCCACTTTCTTTTGGAAAGAGGGATACTAAGTTTGTTCAAATAAATTATATAGGTCTTCTTTGAAGGTTATACACTTGTAGTTGAATGTGTTAAAAACTTCAAACGGCTTGTTCTAAAGAAATAATATGAAAATACTCAATATATCTATGTTTAACTTGTTTGAGTGACGGGCTGTCGATAAGACTTTCTTCGAATAATAAGTCACCTTGACAAAATCGTTTAATAAATGATGATCATGACCCATTTTCAAGGTATATCGTCCCTGGAATTGTGAAATATTCCATAAAGTCTTTAGGGGTGGAGAGTGTTATATATATTGAGACAAAAATCGACTGAAAATAAAATATAACAAAACAAGATGAGCAGTTGATGCCCTAACACTCTTAGTTTAATTCAGCCAGGGATAGTTTAAGAAGGATATTTGAAAGGATTTGTATTGGTATACAAATCAACGAGATGTGATATGATGATTAATTCTGAATTGCAATCATTGAAATCAGATTAAAAAAATAAAATAATGTGACTTGTTACTTTTTCTTTTCTTTACTGAAGTCAGATATTATCGCCTAATTATTTGTTAAAGGGCCTATGAAAAGTGGTCCTACAGTATTTCGTACAAGCAAACAAGTGAATTGCTCCTGTCGTACATCCATCTTGTTTTGGAAGGAGATGTCATTAATCTGTATTAGGCTTTCCTAAGTGTCTAGCTTCTATTCCAGGCCGAATAGTATGGCGGTCGATACCAGACAAGATAAATAATATACCGAGTGAGTGAGGAGTCTTACAAAATACGTTTGTGTATGGGTCATAGTTTGTAGTCATAGCCTGCGGAAAATGCCTTAGTCAAATGTAATCAATGTACGCATGTCTCCATAAACCACAGATTAAACAAAATACGACTGTCTGTAGAGTACAATGTAACCAAGATACGACTGTCAGTAGAGTACAATGTAAACAAGGTACGACTGTCTGTAGAGTACAATGTAAACAAGGTACCACTGTCTGTAGAGTACAATGTAAACAAGGTACGACTGTCAGTAGAGTACACTGTAAACAAAGTACGACTATCAGTAGAGTACAATGTAAACAAGGTACCACTGTCAGTAGAGTACATTGTAAACAAGGTACGACCGTCAGTAGAGTACATTGTAAACAAGGTACGACTGTCAGTAGAGTACAATGTAAACAAGGTACGACTGTCTGTAGAGTACACTGTAAACAAGGTACGACTGTCAGTAGAGTACACTGTAAACAAAGTACGACTATCAGTAGAGTACAATGTAAACAAGGTACCACTGTCAGTAGAGTACATTGTAAACAAGGTACGACTGTCAGTAGAGTACATTGTAAACAAAGTACGACTGTCTGTAGAGTACAATGTAAACAAGGTTCGACTGTCTGTAGAGTACAATGTAAACAAGGTACGACTGTCAGTAGAGTACATTGTAAACAAGGTACGACTGTCTGTAGAGTACAATGTAAACAAGGTACGACCGTCAGTAGAGTACAATGTAAACAAGGTACAACTGTCAGTAGAGTACACTGTAAACAAGGTACAACTGTCAGTAGAGTACACTGTAACCAAGGTACGGCTGTCTGTAGAGTACACTGTAAACAGGGTACAACTGTCAGGAGAGGACATTGTAAAAAATGTACGACTGTCTGTAGAGTACAATGTAACTAAAGTACAACTGTCAGTAGAGTACACTGTAACCAAGGTACGGCTGTCTGTAGAGAACAATGTAAACACGGTACGACTGTCAGTAGAGTACAATGTAAACAAGGTACGACTGTCAGTATAGTACAATCTAACAAGGTACAACTGTCTGAAGCGTACAATGTAACCAAGGTACGACTGTCAGTAGAGTACAATGTAAACAAGGTACGACTGTCAGTAGAGTACAATGTAAACAAGGTACGACTGTCAGTAGAGTACAATGTAAACAAGGTATAAATGTCAGTAGAGTACACTGTAACCAAAATACGACTGTCAGTAGAGTACAATGTAAACAAGGTACGACTGTCTGTAGAGTACA